TTCCCCTCCCTGAAGCAGGTTAGTTTGCCGATGAGTACCCTGGCCTCATCGATACGACGCTCAATCCTGCACTGCCAGGCAGGAGCAGCTGGTTTCGGTCGGACTGCTGCGTCAAGATTTGGGAATCTGACGTTAGCTACTCGACAAGCTGCTATCGCCCCACAATACAGGATCGAGTGTGTATCATAGAGATTTTCGCTACTTTCAAAATAATTTTCGAGTAGCGAATCCAAGGCACACACCAGCGCCCTATTTTTTCCACACATGGGCAAACGTGGTAATCTGGGTCTTAATTCACTAGGAGCAAATCTATACTCATGTATCGCATCCTCCAAAGCGTTCCTCAATATTTCATTGCACTGAGTACTCACTTGTTCAACCTTATCGTCCTCCACGGCAGCACCAGGAGTGGCGAGTGTGGCATTTTTCATATTATCATTATTTTTAACATTGATTACAGCTTTTTTTAATTTTATATCTTGAGGAAGGTTGACATATGAACTACCACGTAGGGGGTTGAATTTGTTAACATTCATATCTATGTATTTAATTTGATTAAGACTCCAACCACTATCTTTTTTTTCAAATTGACAAATTTAACCGACTACTGTGTCTATTAATGATGAATAAAAAATATTTAAGTCATCTCCCTGACAAATTATGTAATTAAACGTTTGAAAATCAAACGTATTTTTAATACCTTTAGTTTGTTGTATGAAATCAGCATGCAATATGAAGTTTATTTTTAAAATTGTATGTTGTTGAATACATTCATTTATCAAAAATAAGATATCTATTTTTAATGAATTTAAAAATGATTCCGGTGTTTCAAAATATTGTCCCGATTGATGTGTTTTACTATTAATTCTATATGTTAAAATTCGATTACCAAAAGCTGTTTCAACGACTGTAACATTTGGTAATGAATTATGTAATTTTAAAAGATTATTTTTATGTGTATTGCTTTTCAAATGATTGTTTAAATACCTTTTAGCAATATAAACATGACATGTATCACATTCCACCTTATTGTTGTCAATGTCATTGGTTTCAATTGATGATGTAGAAGCTCCTTCATTTAATTTTGCTTTCTTGGTAACCTTATTTTCATTAGTAATGATACCTTGTTTGATACCTCTTCCAACTTGTTGTTGACTGCAACAAAAAAAGAAAATTATTAGACAAATCTTAAAATAAAACATTCCTACAATAATATTTCTTATTCAGTTTGTACTGCTAATACTTACATTAACGTTGTTTCAACCATCACACATTGATTATACAACTCATCATCATACGATGAATCGAACAGTTCACGCTTCTCCATTTCATCACAAACTTTTATATCATTAGGTAACATATACTATTAGTTTGATTAGTTTATAAACATCTTTAGAATCCTTTATTTGTATTAATATGACTAGTCCACTAATGACTGAGTGTCATTGTTAAAAAAGTATTTTTTTACTTTTTCACTTTCTGCTATTGTCTTTGTAATATTGTATACGAGACCGTTTGTGTTGTCGTAGATGCTATCCTTATAATCCTTTACGTAATATTTAATCCTCGTGGTAGCGTGCTTCCAGTGATCACTAGTTGGAATCTTGGATAGTTTCTTCATATCATACATTTCAATTTTTATGAGATGCGTCGCTTGGTCTCCGTCGTCAGAATTTGTAGAGATGTATGATACGCCATCTTTAACAGCTCGTGCCACAGTCGATGATAGCAGCTTCCTCCTTTTTATTTTTGGTGCCACTTCAAAAAATTTATCAATCGGTTGCGATTTCCTTTTTCCACCATCGCCTGTGTTATTAACGACGATGTCATCACTCTCTTCTTCGTGTTGGGGAGAGAGAGGCGAGTAGTAAAACTGTTTATAGGTATTTACATTATCGTCTGCGAAGCTGAATGATCTCTGCAACAACAGAGTTATCACGTTAATATCTATTTGATTAATCTGACACACACACGAAAGGAAACAACAACAGAAATACAAGTAAGTTTGTCAATAGAATAAACACTTACCTCCATGATGCGTTGAAGTAGGTAACACAAACGTAGTATTGGTAGACGTATACAATTCACTGTGGTCAAACGACCATACACTGATTGCATGACTGCAATTGTTCCATCATATATAGTCCATTCTTATCTAAAACATGACACACACATACACATCCCTAAGTACAACGAAACTCTATGAATCAACAAACTTATCTCACATCACAACAGGCATGAACCTGTTTTGTGACTAACACAAAGAATGCGATTTAATATTTACAAATCACTATCATTGAACATTCCTATGACAACCATTGAATAGATTGGTACTGTAATAATCTGCTAATAACAGTAATATCATGGATACACTAGAATTACAAAAACATATGAAAAAGATTCATTCGAGTCTAGAAAATAATGTTTATGCTGCTAATAGACTACCTATGTACACACATGTACCAACGTATATAATATGCAATTTGGATGCGGATGATAAACCAGGGTCACACTGGGTAGCCATACATATCGATACAAATGGTATCGGCCAATATTTTGATTCATATGGAAGAACACCTGAGCGATATCATCTTCAGTTTTTGAAAAGGAATTGTAAGAGGTGGGACTGGAATGTTGATAGGATTCAGAATGATTGGACTTCGGTTTGTGGCGAATATTGCTTAATGTATTTGCTATTTAAGTTTCAGGGATGTTCAATGCATAGTTTTACGAACATATTTACAGGAAACACGCTGTACAATGATAATTTAGTGGATGAGATGTTCCACTCATATTTTGTAAAAAAAAGTAATAAAAGTTCGAAATAAAAATGAATGATTGTGTTTTATTGATGATATAGAAAATCAGACAAAATGAAGACGTAATGAGAGAGTTCGAAGCACAATAGATAATGATAACGATAGGCGAACAATGGGACGTTAAGTAATGTAACGATAAGCAAACAAAGGAACGTTAATGAGGGTTCAGAAGCTGATTCTGATTTTCATAACTCCAGAACCACGCATCCTACGCTAAAACGGACTGCAGAAACGTGATCAGAGCATGCCAAAACCTAGGATAGCATACCAAACTTTTTTTTTTTTTTTTTTTAGGTTTGGTGCCACTCAGATTTCAGATTCCGGGTGATTAGCTGGTTCTGGCGCTTGCGCCAGAACCAGCTAATCACCACTACTTTTATCCTTATTAAACACACAAAATGTAAGATATGAATGTGTAATTAACGAGAATAGTTTTGATGGCGTTTTGACCAAGGGGTGTTAAGGCACCCACTTCTCACGCATAAGCGTTCGAATCTGGCAAGTACTAATGCCATTTTTCCAAGTCATATGTGTTTTCTAAGACTATTTAGAAACTTACAAACGAAACGGAACCTTATTTCATATACACTCGAAGGCTTTTTTTTTGTGAGGGGAAAATCATCAAATGACTTCTCCCGCCCAGGGCCGGGCGGGAGGGAGTGTCAGACTCTTACTGACTAAAAACCCCCCTGTTCCTTTTCCTGCTCTGGGCTGAGATCGCGGTGTTTTATTGCGCTTACCCCGCAACCCCGGCTGAACATCAGCCCTTTAGGTCCCCGTCTGTGGTGGTCCATTGGCTCTTTGAGGCGCGCGCGGAACGCTACGCGCCGTACGCTCGGGCCTGGTTCTGGTCGGGCGGCGAGCTGCCCTTACTCGCCGACCGCAGACCCGTGCATACGGTGGCCGGAGATCATCTCTCGATACTCGAAGCCTGGAAACGCAGTTGTGTTTCGGGTGTATATGGGCCGCAATGGTTGCTTATGTAATACATAAAGAAAACATTCGCTAAACCAGAGGATTTGCAAATGCGTTGCTAGATTTTGGAGGTTAAGAAATTGAAGATTTGTGAGAAGAGCCTTGCTTCACGTTGGCTTCTTGTGAGGCCGTGGTATCACTCCGGTAGGGCATGTAAAAGTTGAACTTTTTGACAATAACCGTTTGTACAGAAGATAGAATTTTGAATGACACTCTAACTAATTTTTGATTTGCTAAAATCGTTTCGTAATCGTAGAGACTCCGAAAATATGTCGTGGGGTATAAAAGCGGTCGCATTTAACAGTTTAATTTCGTTCACACAAGGTAGTTGTCAATCGAGGCGCGACAGTAGCGACATCTCGCGGGAACAACTACGTAACTGCTAATTGTGAGAACTACACTACTGGTATGTGTAAGTACCTGCATTTCTGTTTATTGGGGTAATTTGATTTAATGTTAATCGTTATTAAGGTATCTTTTATTAATTAAATGAAGATAAATAAGAAATAGTATGTATTTTTTATTTTCTACTACGATTTTTGGTTTTTTATCGCACTTATATTTGAAACGCGACGAAAATCATTATAAATCCCTTCTCTCGCACGGACACGACCTGAAATGAAGACGAGAGGGAATCAAATAAAAATCATTAATTCTCACTGAACCATAAATACGTACTTTTGAAACGTCAAAATAGAATAGTGTAGGTGCTCGTTCCAAATGGTAGATTCGAATGGAGAAGAACGAGCAAGAAACTCCAGACGCCAGACTCTTACTGACTAACAACCACCTTCCTTATCCTGCTCCAAGCCGCAAGCTGCAGTAGGTACAATATTGCGTTTGACTAACAATCTCAATCACCAATTCTCAATTTCACACTTATAATAAAAAATTACATGTCCAGGCTTCCTCAAGATGTTTTCTATACTTAGAAAGTACATATAGCTCGGAAAAGTAACATAGTTGCGTAGTAGATTAAAATGATTTTTCCGGCTCCTAATTTGCTTGGTTACTCTCATAACAATATGCAATGATTTATTTGTGTGTAGGCTAGTCTTCAATTTATCTTCTATCTATATAAGACACTTACGTAATAGGCAATCTCAAATTGTTGAGCCTAGGTAATCGATTACCAATCCTTGAAACGAACAGATTGAATATTAAACACAGTATCAACTGCTTATCATAGCACTTAAGACGTATAATATGATAAATAGAGTTTTAGTAATCGTAGCTATATCAATACACATCATATTCCAATGCAGTTTCATATATTGCACAGGCCATACGACATCAAAGACTTCTGCGAGGAAAACCGCATCACAAGTTCAACTGTTAAAAGATATCATACGACGGAAAGCATATGAACAAGAAGCCCACGACCCGGAAAAAAAATGGCTGAAGACAGAGGATTGGATTCAAAGTGTGAGTAATAAAAATAATGAGAAATCTCCAGAAAAAAAAGAAAATCGTGTAAGAAGATCTCAACGTAAAAAGACAACTACTCAGGTATCACCAGAAGCAAGGAAAACTCATAAATCAAAACATGAAAATAATGTTGAAAAAGGAGAATTGCGCCGTCCCGAAAAAATACACTCGAAAAACATGGATGACCAGCCATTACATCAAAAGAAATCAGATCTTCGTGATTCGTTAATTGCAGAGTTTGCAGAAAAAGCTCAAATAGAAACAAAGAGTCTAAGAGGTGGAAGACCACAACTTGAAGAACTTGATGAAGAAGGCCTAGAGATCGACACACAAGGAGAAAGTAATAAAGACAACCCGACTCAGGATTGGAGAGAAAATTACTCACAGCAAGGTCTACCATGGGCTGGAAATGTCGAAAAATTAGCACACAGGCCGGTAAACCAATTAGAAGAAGACAATACGGAATCGCAATCGACAGATCAAGATGTAGAGAAACAAATTCGAATATGGACAGAAGCTCATCCAAAAAAAGAAAATCAAGCTTTGAAGAAAAAACATGGTAACTCGCCGTGGGCTAATGATCTTGCAGAAAAGGTAATGCAGGAATGGAAAGAAACTAAATTAAAAAATGAGCATGAGCAACGAAAACAAAAACAGCAACAACCGCAATTGACTTCTTTAGAGAGTGACATCAAAGAACCAATTATTACCAATCAGGAATATGAAATAGTGACAGAAATAAATAATTCAAACGATGAATCTGATAAGTCAAGTGACTCCGAGGAGAAGGAAGTTGTCGAAAAAGAAGAGTTACAAAATACTCAAAGCAGTTCAGAAAGGAAAAAAATCTTATTACCAACCAATAGTGGTGGACAAAAGAATTCAAAAATAGTGAGTACAGATCATAGGCTTGGACAGAAATTAGCAGAAAGCATGTCAAACGAAGACAAAGTGCCTAAAAAAATTGACTTTGTTCAAGATATGACCGATATTGCTAATGTAAGTTTATCACTAAGTAAATGTTTGTGATTTCATTCGCTGCTAAGTATCATTCCAGGATTGCGGGTGTAAGTTCAATAATGTACCGCGATATCTGCTTGAAGCAGAGAGGAAATAGGATGGTGTTTAGTCAGAAAGAGCGTGACCTCTCGCTACACCCAGTGCGGAGGAAATCACTTGATGATTTTCCCCGTAAAAAAGCGAAGTGTCTATGTCTATTTCCAAATTTAAAAATAGTTGTTGTTCGTTAATAATGCGATGACGACATTATAAATGAATATATTTGATTTATTACAGATAACTAAATACAAAATAAAAGAATTCTTGAAGCAACAGACGAAAAATCTAAAGGTTAGCAGTATTTCAATTTTAAGATGTTTTTGCTAGTATCTTGCCCTATTCACGTTGATGTCCAACTACGGCGGTGTTACGAAAGTCTACTAAGCTGTTCTCAAATTAAAATAAAAACCTTTTTGTGTGTTCACCACAACATACAAAGGTTTGTCGAAATCGCATTAGCCATTTTCGCACGACGCCGTGGCCAAGAGAAATTGGGATTCATTTTATAAGATTGCCACGTAGCAAGTTCTAATGTGACTTTTTCTGAGTTCTATGGACTTTCTGAGGCGTTTTCTGATACACGGTGAAGGAAAACATCGTGATGGCTCCAGGACTTAAATTTCTAATTATGTATTTGAAACCGCCAATCCAAACCGAAACTCAAATTATTTTAATAGCAATGTTGGGTGCTTTTTATTTATTCGTAATCTAAGTGCTTAATTCTAACAAGATTACAAAAATATGATAAAAGCTCGAGAAATTATCATAATCAGCTCTTTATTGTTTCTGTCTCCTCTTGAGAAACAAAATAATGTATTTTTATGAGTATGTTTATAGTATTTTACTATAATTGCAGGACAACCAAACGCTTGCTGAAGAGGAGTCTAAGAAATCTCTGCGTAATTATCTCTCGAAGAAAAGAAATTTACACAGAAACAGTTCAAATAAATGTGTCCATAAGGTAAAGGATTTAATTTTATTATTTAAAAAAACACTAGGATTTTCTCATTTGACCCAAACCCTTTTTTGTGACGGGAAAATCATCAAATAACTTCTCCCGCCCAGGGTAGGGCGGGAGGGAGTGACAGACTCTTACTGAGTAAACCTCCCCCCCCCCGTTCCTTTTCTTGCTCTGGGTCAAGATCGCGGTGCCTCATTGCGCTTACCCCGCAACCCTTGACTCAGGCCCTGAACTTCATTTGATGCAAGAATCTAACCTTCGACACGTTGCCCACCAATAAATTGATCCGCCACTGCGCTGTCCCAATTGCACGTTTATGTACAGGGGACTCGGTTTGGAGTAGTAAAAGGGGGTGGTTTTAAGTCAGTAAGATTCTGTAATTTTTTCTCACCCTGCGAGAGAAGCCATTTTGAGGTTATGGGCTTGGCAGGAAAGAGAGATAACTCGATAGACTCCGGTAGCCTCGTCATATGACGAAACATAACGCTCTGGTTGATTTACGTCAACTCTAGTTTTCCTCTTGTCGATGCCTAATCAAAAACCTTATCTTTTCAGTGTTTCAAACCAAAATGTCACGTCAAAGTGAGTTTTTTTAAATTTCTATAATTAAAAAATTACGTATACAATTAATATTGTATAAACTTAATTACTCTTCTTACTTCCGTAAATTAATTTTCGAGAAAAACTGTACTAGTTTCAAGTTACACCAAGAGATATATATATTTTTTTATGTGTTGAACCGACGGATTACCCGATAGTAAGCAATCAGCGCACCCATGGACAGCCGCAACAACAGATTTAGGGATACGGGGAGGAGAAGACTTGGGCCTCCGGTAACCTCACTCACACATGACAACATTCGTACTTGAGCAAAATAGGAGGCTGAAAAAGGGTGTCATGTCATTCGAAATGAGGATATTCGACAAAGAACTAAAGCTATCGACAAACCCCAAATGACTACCAAACTGAAATGGTCACATTTTGTCGAAGAACCGATAACTGTTTTCAGTTTTTAGAAACGTCTATCTCAGACGTGTTCTGAAGCAGAGTCCCCGAACGCTGTGTTTGCTTAAAAGTAAACACAGCGTAGGCTGCAGTTGAACCAGAAGAAGTGGTGATATCTCCAAATTCACGGTTCAGAGACGAACCATTGGAGACCCTATATCTAGCAGTGGACGGAACCAGGCTGATGATGATAATTATAATGATGATGATGATGGTGATGATAATGTGCTATGTCATATACGAGAATCGACTGTAAGGAAGAGAGCCAATGTTAAATAATTACTTATTCATTTAAATTTTGTTAGTGTTCTGGAACCCGGGGTTCGGCAGCGGTAAGTATAAATTTAAAATCGTTTTGTTAATCTTTAATCTTTGGATGAAATATTATGGGGACGAAAACACAGCTTCACAGAAAATCGAATCGATCGTAACAGACACGGTAGGTAGGTAACCATCGCTAAGCTACTGAACCGACCAAAGGTGTAAAAAGATACTAGCCGACGGATTTTTTCACCAGGCGCGGTGGACCCAAATTTACGTTTTTTAAAACAATCTGAGACAAAAAGTACAGTGTCTTCAATTTAAAAAAATATATATGTTTAGTTGAGGATCTTATCTAGTCAAAATCTCATTCAGTTAAGAGACCCGATGAACTTCACTCGATAGAAAAAAATCGCAGTTACCCCTTTTTAAAACGTTTTTTCAATATTGTGCCTGTATAACGGAATTTTTTACATATATTTTTTTACTATCATAAAGAAACTGATTAGTTACAGACAATTTCGCAGAGTAAGAATTGATAAAATGATTTTGTTAATTACTATGTTTTAATAACAATAAAATAGGCGGTCGCAGCGGCCCAGCTCGGACAATTCTTGTTAGCGTTTAATATCTATTGCTTATCGCTTGGCCTACACGCCCTTAAGGGATTTGAGCGATATTTCGCTTGGTTCCCATGCATGAGCATGCTCATCATTTCCGAGTTGTATTATGTACTTTCTATAATTATTTAGACACCACTGGCATACGATGAAGGAAAACATCGTGAGGAAACCTAGACTTAAAGTTTATTATTACAAGTTTGAAATCGCCAATCCGCCTTGAGCAAGCGATTAATACTCAAACCTTCTCCGTGTGAAAAGAGGAATTTGCTCGGAGAGCACTTATAAAATGATGACGTTGATGATGATAGTACCAAATGACTTAGTCGATTGTTCTTGTTTCAGTGCAGTGCAAAATCTTGCCGCTCTTTGGTAAGTGTACTCCATCGTCAAAGAACATCTCTATTATTCTTTTTTTCTTCTATTTTTTTTTTTTTTTGTTTTTCTGACAATTGGTTATGGTAATGTATAACAACTCTTTGCATGTTCTTCCATAGAAGGGATGATGATGGTCTATGAAAAGGATACACATTTTGATAATTAAAAATATTGCCGGATATAAAAAATAATAAACCTAATTATGTTACCTCTGCACCGCATTTAGCGACGACCCGTTGAAGACTGCCCAGATATCACAGTGCAGGTGGACTCTTCGGCACTGCGTAGGGATGTAGCCCGGTTATGTGTCCTAAGACCTATATAACCTGTATATAAAAACGATAGCTACTACGCTATCTTTGGGTCTTTCGTGTGCTGAATAAATGATTTTAGTCAAAACCTTTTTTTCACATTAGTAATTAAATACCTAACTAACAAATTAAGTTTAGTATTATTTCTTACGCCTGGTGGTAAGCGTTGATGCGACCTACGATTATGGAGCACGCCTACAAATAAACACTATTTAACTGTAGCTCATTTTGTTAACTATTACAGACTCAAGGTGAAGATTCTGCATCTTTAGTAAGTTTCTAATTCATTTCTTTATTACTTTAGCGAAATGAATTCAAGAAAACACAGCTTTCAACCCGTCTTTTTAGCATTTAGGAAACAGAGAGTAAACTGCCCATTTTTTTTGTGAGGGGAAAATCATCAAATGACTTCTGCCGCCCAGGGCCGGGCAAGAGAGAGTGTCAGACTCTTACTGACTAAAACCCCCCCTGTTCCTTCTCCTGCTCTGGGCCAAAGTCGCGGTGCCTCATTGCGCTTACCCCGCAACCCCGACTGAACATCAGCCCTATGGGGCCCCGTCTGTGGTCGTCCATTGGCTCTTTGAGGCGCGCGCGGAACGCTACGCGCCGTACGCTCGGGTCTGGTTCTGGTCGGGCGGCGAGCTACCCTTACTCGCCGTCCGCAGACCTACGCTTACGGTGGCCGGAGATCATCTCTCGATACTCGACGCCCGGAGAGTAAACTGCCCCATGATTTGAAAAAGACAATTCTCTTACTAGGCGAGGTGATTTTGCCCCACTGTCTTTCTTTATTTAGTAATGGGCAAGCATTTGGCCGCTATCACGACTGGTGGTAAACAATGATGTGACCTACGATGAAGCAAGCCTACCCAAAAGCAACCTATTGACTTTTACATTGGACTTTCTATCCATGTTCAATTCCGCTCAAAATCTATTTTCGCATTTTAAGATTTGTTTTTTTTATTAAATTGTCGTCATAACTTCTTTGTGTGTTGTCATAAACATTCAAATCACTGAATATTATACTAACACACCGGGAAAAATTTGTTGAAACACAAGGTTTATCCAACCTTGTAAGGGATCTATATTCGAAAGAAACTAACCTTACTACAAAATTATCATGAAATATAATACTTTGACTACTTCATACCATTTTATTTTTTTTAATGTTAGGGTTATATGTTGATTGTTTTATGTTTAAGAACTTACTTTTAAATTTTATTGTGTGATGTTCAATTTTTTGCATGATGACATCTCCAGCAATTGAAGGAGCGCACGACTATTAAAATTGTATTTTTTTTATATATTTTTCAAGTAATGTGTATTCTCTGTAGGAGATCCTAATAAAATAAAGAAAATCAAAATACTTTACTTTTCAGTGTACGGGAGAACACTGTCATGCATTGGTGAGTTTGAAAAATAATTTTAAACCAGACATTCCCAGAAAAATATAATGAACTAGCTTTTGCCCATGACTTTGTTCGCGTGGAATGGTGACTTCCTGCAGTTTTTTGTTTTAAAAACTATTCTATGTCCTTTCTCGAGAACCAAACTATGTCTGGACCAAATTTCACATAAATAGGTTCAGTAGTTTAGGCGTGAAGAAAAGACAGACAGACACAGTTACTTTCGCATTTATAATATTAGTTTGGATTAAATAGAATTAGATAGCGGGGGCGCGGGTTACTTCATGAGTTATTATATACTCTCAATGATCATTTTAGACACCATGTTCTGAAATGTGGCAAAAGCAAAAAAAAACATTCTGAGGGAACCTTCTTTTTGTCAGGGGAAAATCATCTAATGACTTCTCCCTCCCAGGGTAAGGTGAGAGAGAGTGTCAGACTCTTACTGACTAAAAATAAAACCCCCTTCAATCCTTCTCCTGCTCTGGGCCAAGGTCGCGGTGCCTCATTGCTTTTACCCCGCAACCCCGGCTTTGTAAGGGAACCTGAACTTACGAATTTCTCGTGGTGATTATTAATGCTCAAACATTCTCCGCGTGAGAAGAGGCCTTTGTTCAGTAGTGGGCTCTTATGGGCAGAGAAAAGGAGGTCTTTTCAAAATATTTTAGGCCAAACGTAAATAATAATTACCTGTTACTAAACGAAGCTAAATTTAACCATACATAAGCTATTAAGACTAGCATGTTATTATGCAATTAAAGATTTCTTAGAAAATAAGTACTTAATGTGAATGAGGATTTTTAGATGTCATAAATAATATCAAAACTTCTAATATTTAATAATAACTTTTATATAAATGTTGTTGTTTACAGGCCAAATGGGCCTTGATTATTGTATGCCCAAACGGGCTGATTGTTGTACTGTATACACTATAAATATATATAACACCTGTAACCAACACAATGAACACAATAAAGATTACTTTACTTTACGTCCCCGTCTGTGGTGGCTCTTTGAGGCGCGCGCGGAATGCTATGCGCCGTACGCTCGGGCCTGGTTCTTGTCGGGCCGGAGATCGTCCTTCGATATTAATGTAGAGGGTGAGGAGGCTTATTCCCACAATGGACATCCACGAGCTGCAGATGTGATTGATGAATGAAATAATTTTATGTAACACTACAACAGACAGATTGACACACGTGTTCTGCTAATTGATTTTAACCGCATACATAGGGAGCTTGTTAGGGTGACCATCGTTTGAAAAATTATAGGAGTTTTGTGAGTTATAATATTAATAAGGCGTTTTTGGCTAAAACTCTGTGCCCGTCTCTATTATAGAAAATATCGCTATTATCTGTTACTCGTAAGAATTTCACGAAATCTGTGGAATTTTGCAAATGTATTTTCAATGTATATCGGCTGAGTCTAATTAATTATCAAAATCCAAACTAATACTATAAATGCGAAAGTAACTTTGTAAGTCTATCTTTCTGTATGTCTATAGATTTTTTATTCACGCCAAAACTACTGAACAGATTTGTGTGAAATTTGATACAAACATAGTTTGGAACTTGAGAAATGACCTTTTCATTTTCATGTTCAACCAAAAGTCTGCAGGAAGTCACTTTTCACGCGAACAAAGTCGCGGACAAAAGCTAGTAAGATTATACATCAGAATTAATTCGGCAAATTTCTTTTAAAATAGAATCCATTGGTGAAAACTATAAAAATATTACGACCCAATAAACAAAAAAATATAATCCTCAGCATAACATAAAGTTGTCCATTAAAACTCGTGACACGTACACAACCTACACGTAACCGGTTTACACCGGTCGTATCCAGTTAGATGCAGTTATAACACGTCAGTAGAACTAATTCAATAGTCTATCGTTGTGACTATTGTGCTGTTCACCCGCTGTTTGTAACGAGCGTCATAATAAAATAATACTATACTGGAATAGAATCAGCCAATCTTTTGGTCTGGCGAAAATTACACTTAATGCATTAGGAATAAGGATGTAAATTGTATTTTTGTTAACAAAATTATTGGCACTATGAGTTTAAGGGTTGGTTTCTGATCAAAGTTCACTTTTGTTCCGTCAAAATATAGGCAGGAGTGTTTATTTTTCTTAGTAATTTGTATGCTGATTTCATTAAATTGGGAGGTTTTTTTGGTAGATTTGTAAACTGAATATTCTAAATATATTTCTCTGTTTTCAGTGTTTCAAAGCGCAATGCATAGCGGCGGTAATGTACCTATCTTAATTACCTACTTTGATTACGAAATAATATTTAGTACTAACTTCTGAATAATAAAAACTCTAGGTACTTATTTACTAATGATATTTTCGATTTTATTTTCACAGTGTGAAGGTTTTACTTGCCTTGGCAAAGTAAGTGTAGAACATATTTTCCAAATACACATTATATATAAATTCAAAAAATGTCTAATATTCCTCTAGACGACCTTAAAATAAAGTTTTATGCAAGACAGATAATTAGAACACCTTTGTTTTTTTAACTTAATTAATAAATAAATAATATTATTATGTTCATGTCATTTGTTTAAATAAACTATGAGAAGTTATAGATAAAATATTAATTTAAAAATGGAAGCAATACTTCTTCATTTATTTTATTGAAATATTAAAGATATATTTATGTATGCTTAATAGAAAAGAGAGCTAACTCAATGAAGCAGATATTTAAATTTTAAAAATTTATGTTTTAATAATAAGGTTCAATTTTGAAATACCCTCCATTATGACTTATTTCTGTTTTCTGTTAAACATACGCAGTATAATATATTAAGGGCTGAATTTTCAATGGTCAGATAAAAGTTACCTAGGAACAATTATGATGCTGTCGCGTCAGAATGTTTGTATAAGACAGTGACAGCAACAATTTTATTCCTCAGAAAGCATTTATCTGACTATTGAAAAGTCAGCCCTAAATATTGTTTATATTTTATTCCGTAGTGTCATGGTAGAGGATGTCATGCAGTGGTAAGAACACAATCAAAACACTACTTTGTACGCATAATATTAATTTTGATGTATGTAAATTTAAATTCAAAATATTCATTGCTAACTGAGTGTGTACAAAATATTGTCGATATTAACAATATCCCTATATAAAGGTACTTAGAATTTAGTAACCTGCTTAGGTACTGCAATTATGTAGTTAAGTAGTTATATTTCTTCTACGATTTTTTTCATGGACTAGTTAATCATTTAATTTAATTTTTTTTATCTGACATATTAGATAAAAAAAGGCTAACGAGCACACGGATTTCCTGGTGGTAAGCAATTAACGCCGCCCATGGACACCCGCAACAACAGAGGAGTTACGAGTGCGTTGCCGAACTTTTTGGGATTAGGGATTTGAAGATTTAGGGATTGGGGGAGGGGAAGGAACACGACGAAACACAACACTTTAATAAATTCATTGTTTCATTACTGCACGGTTTGCGCGGTGGCTGGGCAACTGAATGCCGCGCAACGTGTCGCGAGTTCGATTCCCGCACGGAACAACTCTTTGTGTAATCCACAGATTGTTGTTCCGGGTCTGGGTGTGATGTGTATGTGAAATTGTAAGTTTGTAAACCACCCACGACACAGGAGAAAATCCTAATGTGGGGCAACGTTTTATCTTTAAAAAAAATTACTAATAATGCCAACAAGCAATCTCGATATTGAATATAATTATTTTTTATTGCTAATGTTAATTTTTTTGTTGTTAATGTAATACTTGAATAACTTATGCTTTTTGTAATACAGTCTAATGGTCGATCATCGCAAACCATGGTAAGTATTAGAAAATGTAAAAAATATATAAGTACTAGCTTCGTCAAAGTCAAAATCGTTCATTTCAATTAGACCCTTACCCCCTTATTACAAAACAAGGTTTATCTTTAGTCCAGGTTTAAACCATTGAGTCGGGTTTTGGAATTTTGAATCTTATTGTCATCTACCTTCAATTCGAAATACGAAAACGTACGTTTAGTCCTAGACTAAAGTAAAACCTTGTTTTGTAATAAGGCCGTTACAGTCACTTTTGAACATCAAACAAAGCTTAAATATATAAAGTGTCTGTCGGTCAGTCCTTTTAGTAGAGCTAGCTAGCTAGGAGAAATAGCAAGAAGCTCCATGGTTACTCTTTTTCAATCATTTTCATAAATAGATTCTTTACGTAAACGAGGTCACAGGAAAAAAGAAGAAAGAAAGAAAGAAAGAAAAAAAAGTATTTATTCGCATCTAGGACGCACATGACACCAAAAAATAAAACAAGTGTATAAACATAAAACAAAATAAAAACATGATTATGCAATATAAAAAAGAGTAATATAAGGAAAAATATGCGTCACAAGCACGCGAAATTGCCCTCGCTCAGCATATGCAGCGACAATAATAAGTGTCGCAGCGCTGATTTTCAGCGATGGCCGACAACAAACATTTGACGCCAATCGGTGCATAAACTTAAAGTTAATAATATATAAGATATAAAAAGTTATATTTATATATATAAGTAAGTAGTGTATATCACTCTCCAACCTCCTTCTGGTACCGCAGCCTAGGACCGAAGCAAAGGATGGGACACGGTTGTAGTCAGTAAGAATCTGTCTCTTCCAACACTTATGAAAATCCGCCATTTTAATCCTCGCAGAAGTAGGTAGAAGTGCGGATAGACAATGTACCATGAATCCCATATGTATAGGGTCTCTTTTACCATAACATTTAGTGCCATGCACTGTATTGTATCTATTTCAGTGTTTAAAGGAGGACTGCATGGCTTATGTAAGTATATCAAAAGTGCTAATGATCAAATATTATAGCTGCTAGCTAGCTTTTGATCTTCTATTCTTAGGGCTGATTTTTCAATGGATAGATAAAAGTTAGCTAGGGAATAATTATGATGCTGTCGCGTCAGAATGTTTGTACAAGACAGTGACAGCAACAATTTTATTCCTCAGATATAATTTGTTATCTGACAATTGAAAAATCAGCCCTTAATATACATTATCTGTGAACAACATTATAAACTGAACTTTTTTGTATTGTCTAGTTGTAAGTTTAAAAAAAAATACTGTTTGTTTTGCCTCTTTTAATAAAATAAGAATAAAATAAAATAACTGAACTGTACCAATTTGGTGCAGCTTTGGGGCACACAATTGTTGTATAAGATTTTCTTTTTGTTGCATACAGCGTAAGTTAGAAAGCTCAAAATAATTATATTAAACTAGCTTTTTCCCGCGACTTTGTTCGCGTGGAATAGTGACTTACTGCAGATTTTTGGTTTAAAAACTATTCTATGTCCTTTCTCGAGTTCCAAACTATGTCTGTACCAAATTCCACACAAATAGGTTCAGTAGTTTAGGCGTGAAGAAAAGACAGACAGAGTTACTTTCGCATTTCATGCTAATCATCATTTCATATTAAATTTAGGGTACAGATTTCAATTTAGGAACAGGTTCCAATCTAGTATCCTTCTTTTTTTATATTATAAAATGCTAAATATTTTAACAGGCAAGCGGTGCTGAAGTTGAAGCAATGGTAAGATCCGTTTAACTTTTTCGCGATTAAAGTAACTATGAATTTTTATGGCACGCTAAACGAGGATACGTCCATTTCATTGTAATCAATCGACGCCGCCCATTAACAACTACAACACCAGGGCCTCGAGTCTGCTATTACAATAATGTCAGAATAGTAGATCATTGGTTTCAAAATATTGATTTTGACAAGTTTGGTAATCTACTAACACGATAGCGTCATTATGACTTTTTAATACCACTTCATTGAAATAATTCTTTCGAACCGTAATTATAAATGAATATTTGACATAATGCGGCAAATTAGTAAAAAAATGTCAGTTCCTTTATTCAATGATTTACGTTTAGAATATTAATGTGCAGTTATTGTGTATAATTCGTTACAAGACATCTCGTACTAAGTATAATTCTATTACGACATCGTCGAACGCCAATGATCAGCCATTTTGAATTAACAGATTACGAACTTTTAGCAAAATGACAATGGAATCGTGTAGGAATGATAACACTTTGGAAATAGTAGACTCGGACCCCTGGGCTGTTTCAAGCGCGTTGTCAACCAGGTTGCAAGTTTTTATAGTATAGGTCGGATACGAGCAGACGGATTACCTGATGGTAAGCAATTATCGCCGCCCCGACACCCGCAATACCAAAAGAGTTACGAGTGCGTTGCGGCCTTTTAAAGATAAAGGTTTCGGATATTTAAGGATTGAAAAGGGATAGAGTGTCTCCGGTATCCTCAATCACACGGCGAAACACAACGCTGTGGTTGTTTCACGCCAGTTTTCTGTGAGGCCGAAGTGTACAAATAATGGAAGTAGTGGTGTTAAATAGGTGAGAATGAAAAAACTTTCCTACTTATGATCGTAAATACATAATATTTTTATTTTTAATACGTTTATATTTATTTAATTTTTTCAGTGCAAAGGAGCGAACTGTCAAGCTGAGGTTGGAATTATATAAGTTCAAAAACACGTCTGTTATAAAAAAATAAGTACAAGCTTCTGCCCGCGACTTCTCACGCATATAAAAGCACGCAAATCCTTTTTTTTTTTGTCAGGGAAAAGTGACTTCTCGCGCCCAGGGTAAGGCGAGAGAGACTCTTACTGACTAAAAACCCCCCGTTCCTTCTCCTGCTCTGAGCCGAGGTCACGGCGCCTCATTGCGCTTACCCCGCAACCCCGGCTGAACATCAGTCCTATAGGCCCCGTCTGTGGTGGTCTCTTGGGTCTTTGAGGCGCGCGCGGAACGCTACGCGCCGTACGCTCGGGTCTGGTTCTGGTCGGGCGGCGAGCTGCCCTTACTCGACATCCGCAGGGTTGATCTTATGCTGGAATATATATTTTACTAGAGCTACCACCATATTTCGATTCAATTTAAATCTATTTTATTTTATTGTTAGAACATTTGAAAGTTCTTTTTAAAGTTTGGCTTTTTGATTGAACATATTTTTTTCTATTTTCAGTGCATGGGATTAAAATGTGTGGCCAGAGTAAGTCTATCAGAGTTTTTAGATATTTTCACAAACTTCTTTATAGGTCTTATTAATTCAACTTGCAATGTATGTTTATGTGAAGTGGAATGATGCAACTAAACTTGGAAGTACCTACGTAGGAACAAAAACAAAACAGAAATTATTTGCAGCTAATTTAAAAGTTACAATTAATTCTTATATAAGAAATATGTGACGATGTGCATCACGTTGAGCTGATCTGATAGTTTCGCAATTGGGTAGTTTCCTAGGTCAAAAATAAATTAATACGACGTTTCAATACAATAAAATATTAAAAAATTACTACGGTTTTATTCATTGATCGATCGATACCCTGAATTTTAGATATTTTTAGCTAAGTTTTAAGAAAAAAGTAAACTATTTGACGAAAAAAAACTATGAAGTCATAACTCAGTTTTTCATACAAATTTAATAGAAAAGTATCGTTTTTGAAATTTAGATAAAAGTACTGAATTTGACTAGTTGGAAACTACCGTATTGTCGCCCAGGCTGATGCAATATTTTATCAGTGTTTCATATAATTCCTTAATTTGCGGAATCCGTAGACTCTTGGTACTTAACATGGGTAGCTTTAACCAATTAAGCTAAATTTTGTATACACGTACACTTTGTATAAAACTTAAAATTACTTATTATTTTTTAATGTCGAATCAAACTTGAAAAATATTCCAGTATTTAGCGGCTTTTTCTGGACTTGCTAAATGAAATTGATGTTGAATTTTATAAATTTTTCAGTGTGATGGTACAAATTGCATTGCTGGGGTAATTATAGTATATACATAGTAAAATTATTTGTAAATATATGTAAAATATATGATACAATAAAAAAACTAATTAACACATATTTCTATATGTTACAGTGTGACGGAAAGAACTGCAGAGCGGAGGTCTGTATTCCTTTTTTTTTTTACTTGCAATAAACTAGTGCTTGACTGCGATCACACCTGATGGTAAGCAGTGATGCAATCGTTGATGTTAAGGCGCACTGGTTTATTATGAGCCTATTCACTCTATCCTTGAAGACACCTAAATTGTATTCAGACGGAAAGACTGCAGCCGGCAAACTGTTCCAATCCCTCGATGTACGCGGTATAAATGACGAGGCAAAACGCTTAGTCCGGGCCGCAGGTGTCTCAACAACGTAGGGGTGGATATTCGCCGTACGCCGTACGCCGGGATGTCCGAAGGTGAAATTGGGATGGCGGAATCAAATCGTGCAATTCCTGGGCACACTCTCCAAAATGCATCTTGTAGAAAACCGCAAGGCTGGCTACTCTGCGCCTCTGTTGACCCAACCAAATCTGGATCACCAATCAGCCTCTTTGCACGCCTTTCCACTGAATCCAAAGCCGCTAGGTGGCATTATGCAGCACCAGCCCATATGTGGTTGCAGTACTCCACACATGATCGGACATCGGACTTTATACAACGTTACAAGCTGACTCGGTGTGAAGTACCGTCGGACTTTTGCAAGAGCGCCGAGTTTTCTAGCAGCTACTTTGGCTCTGGACTCAATGAACCACCCAAAGTTGAGGTCTGAAGCAATGTCCATTCCCAAGAGCTGAAGGCGGTCGGTGCACTCCAGAGATACATCCCGAAAAGCAGGAGCCAAGGTGAACGGGCTCCTTTTGGCGGTGAATAGACACGCCTTTGTTTTGGTGGCGTTGAATGTTACCAGATTAGTTTTGCCCCACTTGGAAACTACCTGAAGTGAGACATTCGTACGCTCTACCAAAGCCTCCCTTTCAGACTGGATTAGCTCCTTACTAGCCCGGGCACTGGGCAGGTATCTCTCTACAACTGTGCTATTATCTGCATATCCAAATATACCAGGCACTAGCAAATCATTAATGTGGAGCAGGAATAGAGTTGCAGAGAGAACAGACTCCTGAGGAACACCGGCATTAGTCGACATAGGCTCTGATGAGCATCCATCGATAACAACTCGGAGTGACCGTTTACTCAGGAAGTCTTTTACCCAGTTTATCAGCCCAGGAGAAATGCCGTACGCTGGAAGCTTTGACAAAAGGCCATCGTGCCATACCCTATCGAAGGCCTTCGACACGTCTAAGAAAACGGCAATAGCTTCCCCATTCCTCTCGAGGGCCTCGCCCCACAAGTGAGTGGCATAAACTAGTAGGTCCCCAGTAGACAATCCATACTGTCGGTCGCTGAGGAGATCGTTACCTTCTAGATATGCCATGAGGCGCGAATTCAACACTCGCTCCATAATCTTGTAGAGTATGGAGGTTATCGAAATCGACCGATAGTTGGGAGGATCGGCACGACTGCCCTTCTTGGCACGGGTTGCACGTTGGCGAGCTTCCAGGACTTTGGCACAATACCAGTCCTAAATGAGAGGCGATACAGGCGCGTCAATACAGGAGACAACTCGGGCGCACAAGCCTTGAGAACTATCGCTGGTATACCATCCGGCCCACTAGCTTGTGGGCTGACAGAAGTTCGCTTCGACCGACTTGGCAAGGGACCAGAATGCTCTGCTACCGGACGGTTGTGCAGAGAGTTTTGTGCCAATGTAGGTAATGCGGTTGAAGCGAGCCTTCCTCAATGCCTTTTTGTAGGACTTGGCAGCATGGTTAAAGGTTTCCTTTTTGATAACATATATTTACGCGGGTATTAACGCGGAAAATTATTATTTGAATACCTTGGTAGGCTTGTCTTGGCTTGTTTTCCTTTTTCATTCATATCCCATAAATATTTTAATAACAAATCTGTTGCTATATATGTAAAGCCAACTTGACAAAGGATAAGTAGCGCGATGGCGAGAAAGGGTCGACCCGAGCAGAACCAGACCAGAGCGTAGCGTCCCGTGCGCGTCCCAAAGAGCCAATAGACCACCACAGACGGGGCCCTAAAGAGCTGATGTTTGGCCGAGGTTGCCGAGCAAGCGCAATGAGGCACCGCAGCCTCAGCCTAAAGCAGGAGAAGGAACGGGGGATTTTAGTCAGTCACAGTCTGAAACTCCCTCTCGCCTTACCCTAGGTGGGAGAAGACATTCGATGATATTCCTCTGACAAAAAATAAAATAGTAAAAGACTAATGACAAACTTCAGATCACCAGTTAGAAACATTTTATAGTTTCCTCAGTTAAAACAGAAAATATAAATATTTAAACTTTACATAATATACAAAAATTTAAAAATAATTACACTTTTATTACTACTTAATTTCGTGTTAAACTTAGTTATCGTATTTTTCTAATTAATTCAAGTGACAAATGGGTTCGCACGTTTTGTGATGCAAAAAATAAATATGAGTCACAACAATTCAAACTCATAATAAAAATAGATTTTGACTTTTATTTACTTATGTGATAGGTCGGCAAACGAGCAGACATGTTACCTGATGGTAAGCAGTCATGACCGCCCATGGTCACCCGCAACAACGGAGGAGTTATGAGTGCGTCCTTTTGGGGATTATGGATTTGGAAATTTTGGGATTCGGGGAGGGGAATTATGATTAGGCCACCCTCGCAAGGCGAACAAAAACACTGTTGCTTCATGCCGGTTTTCTATAAGTCCGTGGTATTATTCCAGTCGAGCCGTGCAAAAGCAGCTCTCCCACACAAAAAAAATACATATTTCGTTATAACATTGAATTTGACTAGTTGGAAACTATCCTATTCTGGATTCTGTACTAACTCTCTGACTATTGTGCCAAAGTAAAGGTCAAATCATTTATTTTAAATAAACCACAACAGGCACTTTCAAACGTCAAGCAAAAAAAATAAGTATATCAAAAGTGTCAGTCTGTCCGTCTTTTGTCAAGTGAAGCTCGTTCCAAAGTGTAGATTCCTATGGAGAAGAACGAGCAAGAAACTGCATGGTAATGACACTGTGCATCACTCTTCCAATAACTCACTTGAAAAACGATCTACGGCTAATTAATGTAACGTTTATTTCGCAGTGTTCCGGCGACAACTGTCTGAGATTTACGAATCGACCTCCTGAATCAGAAGCTATACCACCGAAGACACCAGATTCCACCTTCAGTGGTGGTGAACCAAGTTATGAATACGAAGACTATGGTCTCGCACCTGATGATCCATATAATATATTTTACGATGCAAAAATCCATAAGGAACCCAATGATGAGAATATAACACTAACATACGCCATAAGTTTCCAACTTAACGATGAATTCGTTGATTCCTTAAAGGAAAAGCTTAATAAGTTAAGGCAAAGCAATCTGTTGCGACAACTGCCTAAGATATTGAGTAAAATTTAAAATCATGTTACCTACGTAAATTGGAAAGTGGGAATAGGCCATGGTACTTATCTTAAGATAATATAGATTAGTTTTAAGACAAGCAATATTTTGAAAACTAACTTTATGACCATCATAAATTGCCTAAAGAATTATGTGAAGGAAGTGGGTTGTATAGGAAAATGGATTTACCATTTATTTCCTCTGGTATCATTCCTATAAAAAACTAACCTAACCTCAAAAGATTACTTTTGCCTGATTACAAAAAAAAAATAACCATATTTTGCGGCCAATTCTCTCTATACAATTCTTAGTTCAATCTATATGTTGTAATTTAGAATTTATTAGTTAAGTAATAAATATTACTTTTTGATGTCTTTTTGTGTTTATCATTCCTAAGAATACCGCTGGTAAGGACTGCGATAGGAGAAGATTTTCGCTCATTGGAGATGACTAAGGTGCTGGACACCCTTGACTATATGCAGTGTGCACTTGGCTATATGCAAGATTGTGATAGAGAATTTATGCAAAGATTGTACTAGATTTAAAAATGCTTTACTTCATCAACCATGTAAAATTTACTATTTTAAATTTGGTTACACTTTTTTAAGCAAAGATTTGCTTGTGTTAGGTGGTGTCAGCTACTCCAGTTTACAAATAGGTACTCAATAAATATAATGTAGAAATAAATTTTTAATTAATTATTTGTAAGCATGCAAAAGGATAAGCGAACTGAAGTGGCAGTGGGCAGGTTACATTTGTCGATGAACCGATGACCGTTGGAGTAGACGTGTTCTAGAGTGGAGACCACGTCTGGGCAAACGTAGATAGTCGCTCTCCAGCTATGGCAATGGTTGGATGAGAAGAGCTGAATATCGAGTTTGTTGGCGTTGGGGAGGCCTATGTCTAGCAGTAGACGAAATCAGGCTGATGATGAAGCTTGCAATTTTACAGATGATTTAACAAGTTATATAGGTAATTACAACAAAATTAACAACGTAATAATATTTGATAATGCATAAAGTGCGCACCAGGAGTTTAAATGTATGTGTAGTGTGGGAGAGTGTGTGATGTGGTGTTGTGTAGTTGCTTTGCTCCTACCCCTATGAGGCCTAAACGAACCCACGAACTTTACCAACAATCAGAAAAGAATATAAAAATAAACATATTATTATTTATTTTATTTTAAGGTAGGTACTATGAAAAAATTAAATAACAACAGTTATTCTTTCACTAAAGTGATATCATGGTCTTAGTATTTTTATTTGGACGACGAATTACCTGATGGCAAGCAAGCAGCGCAATAAATGCCGTTTGAACATTAAAGATTTGAGGATTGTGTCTCCGACAACCTCACTCATACCTCAAAAATCATTACAAACGTTGTTTCACGCTGGTTCTCTAAATCTTTATGACATTATAAAATAAATGTAATAGTTTTCGAAATGTATGGATGTACGTATTTTTTTATTATTATGTTTGTTCGTTTCCTTTCACGGGATCACAGGATCCCGGACCTTTGGAAGGCGTACGAGGAGCCAAAGCCAACTCGCAGAGGCCCGTTGAACAATTTTAATCTAAATGTGATGGGACATCAGCCGGCAATTATCCCTGTATGCACTATAAAAGTGCACCCAAGGACAATCCCCGGTTGATGCAGGACTATTGTAAAATGTGGTAACAATTGATAGGGTTATGGGTATGGGTTGCTATGCACTAGTGGATGAAAACTATGGAAATACTATGGCCCCTGCCGCTGACCAATATTGATACATACGGATAAACAGGCAGGGGGTGACTGGCAAACTCAATTAATGGGCCCCCGGAAACGGCCGCTAGCATGTAGCGACACGGAGGCAACATACGTTGAGCTGCTTGGGGAAGGAGAGGCATCCCACGGCTATCACAGCAATCCCGGAAGTACGGTCAAGACCCCTACCAGCACCTTACTGAGATACATCCTTCCCCCGAGTCTCCTTCAACTCCTACTCTTGCGAATCTCCACTCAAGCCAGCCAATTAAGGCAAGAATGAGGTAGGAGGGCTTGTTCTTCATCAGTGTTCACTCCAGCTCGTCACGAGGACTAACTGGAGAGAGAAGAACAAGACACCTCCCGGGAGTCAGGTCCGTGGGGTCGCCACTGCCCAACAGCTCGCCACAAGCTGCCTTGCGGATTTATTATTATGTTTGTTCTTTCCTTTCACGGGACCACAGGGTCCCGGACCTTTGGAAGGCATACGAGGAGCCGAAGCCAACTCGCAGAGGCCCGTTGAACAATTTTAAATGTGATGGGACATCAGCCGGCAATTATCCCTGTATGCACTATAAAAGTGCACCCAAGGACAATCCCCGGTTGATGCAGGACTATTGTAAAATGTGGTAACAATTGATAGGGTTATGGGTATGGGTTGCTATGCACTAGTGGATGAAAACTATGGAAATACTATGGCCCCTGCCCCTGACCAATATTGATACATACGGATAAACAGGCAGGGGGTGACTGGCAAACTCAATTAATGGGCCCCCGGAAATGGCCGCTAGCTTGTAGCGACACGGGGGCAACATACGTTGAGCTGCTTGGGGAATGAGAGGCATCCCACGGCTATCAGAGCAATCCCGGAAGTACGGTCAAGACTCCTACCAGCACCTTACTGAGATACATCCTTCCCCCGAGTCTCCTTCAACTCCTACTCTTGCGAATCTCCACTCAAGCCAGCCAATTAAGGCAAGAATGAGGTAGAAGGGTTTGTTCTTCATCAGTGTTCACTCCAGCTCGTCACGAGGACTAACTGGAGAGAGAAGAACAAGACACCTCCTGGGAGTCAGGTCCGTGTTATTATTATTATTATTATTTTTTTAATAAAACTTTGCCCCACACTAGGATTTTCTCCTGTGTCGTGGGTGCGTTTACAAACATACAAAACACATGCACATCACACCCAGACCCGGAACAACAATCTGTGGATCACACAAAGAGTTGTTCCGTGCGGGAATCGAACCCACGACACGTTGCGCGGCAGCCAGTTGCCCAGCCACCGCACCAACCCTGCAGTCGAACGTATGTTTGTTACTCTTCCACGTAAAAACGGATAGACCGATTTGGTTGATATTTGGTACCTAAATATAGGTATAGATAGATGATACCCTGGATGAACACATAAGCTTTCTATAAACATAAGACAGAAGCTAGTAAGTAATAAAATTATTAGTAATTATTTGTCTTTCCACTTTGTCAATCTTTGTTTTCTAACTATACATTTATTCATCGATCTGTCGATACACAAAATTTTTATAATTTTTAAGAAATAAGTCATATAGCTTACTTTATGACGCTAAATTAGAAGGACTACAATTAGGAGTTTCATACAAATTTCATAGAATGTATCATTTTTGACATAATAGTACCTATTGAATTTGAGTAGTTGGACACTACTCTATTGTGTAACTATATTTGAAGCCCATTCCGAAGTTAGTACATAATATACAAAGTTTAGACGAATTTTTAAAAATAAATCATCTTATTTCAACAAACAACACATACATACATACATACATACATTACATTATTACAGAATAATAGCCAACACGTTTCTTTTCTCCAAGATCACTTGAATCGTCTAAGTACTTTATTTATATTTCGTTACGGAACGGTGCCTGACAACGGCCATGCATTGATCAAGTCAAGGTAGGATTATTTATAAGTGTGGAAGAGCCAAGCTTCGGCACGAATGGGTCGGCTCGACCGGAGTGATACCACAGCCTTACAGAAAACCGGCATGAAACCACCATAGCGTTGAGTTTCGCCGTGTAAATGAGGTTACAAATTTATCCCTATTGTTAGACGACGAAAATCAACTAAATGAACGTCACTAATTTAATCTGTGTTTTCGGCAACACTAGCTGCCGTGTTGACGCTGTCATCTGTCAACTGTGACAGATTAATAAAGTTTTCCCGCGCAAACAGTGCAACGGGGATTCTAGTGGGGAGTTTGACGAGCATTCATACGTTTCTTATAAGAATCCGTTTTTATTAAACTTATTTGAGAGTGTGGTGATTTACTTAAAACTATATTGCTGTAACCCTAATCCCCAATAGGTCGGCAACGCACTCGTAACTCCGCTTGTGTTGTGTCCATTGACGGCTACGATTGCTAACCGTCTGCCTATTTGTCGACTTATTACTTACATAAAATAATATAATCCATATATTTTGTACAACTAGAACTTTTTGTTTGTTTGTTTCTGCGTCCAAGTAGTCCTTAAGAGCACTCAACAGAATAAAACAATAAAATTACTTTTTCATTACAGTATAATATATAATACAAAGACACAGTAATCTTACATCCTTAGCTTAACCAATATTATTAAAATATGTTGGTACAGATTCTAGTATATCAAACTATCCCATTTTCAACCAAATCCTTTGAATTATTTTGAATCATTTGTTGACAAAAACACACATACATATCACGTCAGAACATAAACAAAGTAATTACAAAGACCTTAAGCTACACTAGCGGCCTCAAGCGTTGGAAAAACTGGTTAATCTTAATAATAATCATTTTTTTGAAGTAAATTGTCATATGATTGTTCCGGGGCGACAGCTTTGGGTTCTTCTTTCTCGACACTATTCTCGTATGTTGGATATAGTTGGTCCCATGTCGCATTCGTCGTGAGAGTATTTCCATTGACAGAGTAGGAACAGGATAACAGCTTACACTGGAACAGTTTCACATCTATACTTAATATAATATTATAAAGAGGTAAAATTTGTAATATGTAAGTTTGTATATAGGGGGTAATCTTTGGAACCGCTGGTCGGATTGCCAAAATTCTTTCACTGATAGATAGCTATGTACAATGTCCCGGAGTACTATAGTGGCTAGCGGGTGAAACAGCGCGAGAGAAAGCTAGATTATTAATAAGTGTGTGAAAACCATGCTTCGGCAAGAAAGAGTCGGTCGGCTCGGAGTTATAAGCCTCACAGAAAACCAACGTGAAACAACTACAGCGTTTCGCCGTGTGAGTGAGATTGCTGGAGCCGCAATCCTTCCCCAACCCTAATCCCCAAAAGGCCTGGCAACGGGCAACGCCATCCGTGGGCGTCGCTGATTGCTTACCATGAAGTAATCCATCTGCTCTGTTCCAAAAACATTCAGAAAACACAATTCTTACACAATATTGAAATACCAATACTCGCAAATCAAAAAGATATTATTTCAAGATCTAGTAAAATATTAGAACGTACAGCATATTGTTTGACAAATATCCTTGGTTCAATACGAGCGTTGCTCCTTTTCGAACGAAGAACTACATACTGAGATATCGATGCGTTCCTTTGTACTAATATTTGGTATTTGATTTGTAAAATTACTATTGTGAAAAGGTGAGATGAGATAACAAAAAGTTTTGTGAATTATTTTTAAGAAAAATACTAAAAATGTTTATATTATGATTAATATGATTATAATTAAAAAAAAACTTACCGAAGCAATACAGCCTTTACCCCAACACTAGAAAAATAAATCTTTACTAACCAAAAATCGCGGGTTACTCACGAGTGTAATTGAGAAAAGCTCTACTAGTTTCGAACCAAAGAGGGGTTCTTTTATGAGCAGCGTGCGCGGACGCGGCGACGTCGCGCACGCTGCTCAAGAGTACACACGTGAGTAACCCGCGATTTTTAGTTAATTTAGTATGTCTCATGATAGTTATTATAAAACACATCTTTACTAGTATTATAATGCTGTAGAAATTATTTGTTTGAGTGCGCTAATCTCCGGCACTACTGATTCGAATTCAACCATTCTTTTTGCGATTGTCAGGCCATTTATTGAGGAAGGCCATAGACTAGAAAACAATACACTACGATCTGAAGGAGAAACGGGCTAGTCAATTAATAAAAGCTACTTTTGAATTTACACTTTTTTCTATTGACAAGAATGACATACTCACTAGAATTAACTGAGAAAATCTCTACTAGTAGTAAGATAAGATACAAAAGGCGCGCACGCTGCTTATGAATAAGAGTCCCGTTGTAACTCGAAACTTATAGAGCGTTTCTCAGTCAATTAACGTTATTTTCACAAAATTCACTAAAAACACAATATACCACGTTTCATCCATATAAATGATAGAAACAGATCTAGATGATCATTTTAGTAATCATCATCATCATCACCAGCCCCTTTTTGTCCACTGCTGGACATAGGCCTTTCCATTTGCCCGCCACTGAGCTCGAAGTTCAGCTCTTCTCATTCTACTACTGCCAGTCACCATAGAGTTTCTTTAATCCACATAGCCGGAGGGCGCCCAACACTACATTTGAGTTGGTTCCCACTCCTGATCTACCCCAAACTAACTGGGGTTGTCTAGCACAATAAGGTGACACTGTCTCAGCCTAAAGTAGGAGAAGGAACGGGGGGGAGTTAGTTTGTAAGACTCTGCCTCTTCCCTCACTTTGGCCGAGTCATTTGATGATTTTCCTCTCACAAAAAATAAGGGTTGACCCCAAACGGCAATTTTTAATACCTACTGCATTGTGATAATGAGATTCAAAACATAAACCAAGGTTACTAAAAAAACAAAAACAAATAAAAGTAAAACAAATATAAAACCAATTAAATTCCGTACATACCCGCGACTCGCAATTCATTCCTTCACACTGCAATTTAATAAAACAGGCCACATGTGATTTAACAATGCAATACACCCTGTATAGCGGTCGATATGCAGGGATTTTTGTTCGTATTTCTCGCGCTTTGATATACAGGCTGTATTTATTCATGAATGTTTTTTTGGAGCATATTTGTGATACTGTCACTAAAAATGTTAGTTTATATTGAGGTTTTTACTACACATCTGGACCCTTTTTTTTGTCAGGGGAAAATCATCCAATGACTTCTCCCGCCCAGGGTAAGGCGAGAGAGAGTGTCAGACTCTTACTGACTAAAAACCCCCCCGTTCCTTCTCCTGCTCTGGGCCGAGGTCGCGGTGCCTCATTGCGCTTACCCCGCAGCCCCGGACACATCTGGACCCTAGTTTTAGCTTTCATTACAGCTAGAGTTTTCGTGGATGACGTAATATCGATGCGTAATCGCTCTTCATACAATCGCTTTTAATAATTCGGTCACCCAAATTATGTAGTACAATAATAAACAAAAATACACTTAATAAAGCTACAAAATAAAATTTTACTCATTCGAGTGTCGATATAACGATTTAAAATTAAAGGAATAAAATTTTCACGCTCTCCCAACATAAATATTTGTATTTTACTCATACAATACTGAACACCAATAAAACCTTCTTTGAAATCCAATCAAATAAATTGCTACGTTTAAAATAAATTTCATATCAATCACAAATTCTCAGTAAATAAAACGTCCGAAGAAATAAATTGAAAATGAAATATTTACCTTCGCGGTACATTTCTCGCCAATGCACTGGGAATTAAAAGTAAACCTTAATAAAATATCACTAGGATTCATATTTCATAAACCATATGAGACAGTACTGCGCCACTTAATTGTTTGCACTATACGAACAAATTAATTTAAAAAGTATTTTTTTACTATTTAGTTGCTACGTCGTTCGTAGCAATTATGAAGTCGCTACGAGTACTACGGCGTAGCAACAAAATTAGATGTGTTAGAAGTATGACTGAAAATGACTGCACGGTTGGCGTGGTGGCTGGGCCACTGGCTGTCGCCCAACGTGTCGCGGGTTCGATTCCCGCATTGAACAACTCTTTGTGTCATCCACAAATTGTTTTCCGGGACTAGGTGTGATGTGTATTTTTGTAAACGCACTTAGGACGCAGGAGAAAAAAAGTACTTAAAATTGTTTGATGTTAATATTGTGAAAGTGATTTAATTGAATAAGCAGTAAGTTTAGTGTTAAGTTTTGACATACCATAGCAAAACATCCAGGTCCATTACACTGAAGATGAAAAGAATTTTCTGCTTAGGTACTTATACAAATTACATGTTCACGAAAGAACTTGGATCAAATACATACGTTGCATGAAAACATACTAACTTAATTAATCTTATAGTAATAAGCAACAAATCTCATAGATTGAAATAAAAAAGGGCTTTAATTCAAAAACTCATATAAAGCTCTTTGAGGGCTGATTTTACAATGGTTAGATAAAAGTTATCTGCGGAATAATTATGATGCTGTCGCGTCAGAATGTTTGTATAAGACAGTGACAGAAACAGTTTTATTCCTAAGATAACATTCATTGAAAAATCAGCCCTTTGTCGATTGTAGGACTAAGCTACATACAAAATAAAAACTTTAACCCACGCTCGCCAGCACATAGACAAACGTATTCTTATAAAACAAAGAACAAATATTGAATGTCTAAGAAAAGTTTTCAATATAAAATGTAACTCACAAAGGCATTGCAACTAACTCCCACACACTGCAAACAAATACAAAGAAGATATTAGAATTAAAAACATTTTTCAGTCTGATTTACATGTGTGTGCAAGGTCAAACATAAAGTATTAATTTTTAAATAATAATTTAAAAGAAGAGATTGTCCTACTTAAAAATGTTGAAAATCCAAACTAATTAAAAAAAACAGGCATGGTTTGGAACTCGAAAAAGGATATAGCATATTTTTTTTTAAATTGCAGTAGGTATGTCACTATTCCACGTAAACGGAGTCGCGGGCTTTTCGCTAGTAGTTAGTAAGTTTCGCTAGTAGTGAGTAAATCGTAAAATATAAAATGAATTTTAAATAGAACATTACCCCACATGCACACGTATCTCCTTTACACTGATTGAAATAAATAAAACATTATATTATTAAATTTGCAATAGTACGCCTTCCAAAAGTCCAGTACCCAACTAACATAAAAGTACAACACCACAAGTGACTACTAAAACACTAACAGTTACGTAATGGCTATTATTTTTTGATGTAGTAGCTATATTGAGACGTGTTAGAGAATTTTTTGTAAACAACGACAAAGAAAAGCTCTACTAAATTTACACGTCGCGCACACGTCGGACAGGGACAGGGATTGTGGAGAATTAGTCCATCGGTAGCCTCACACGACTGAGTTGTGTGGCCATGTACCACATCGGTACGGCCAGCCCATTTGTCCTAAATAGGTGCAAAGAACGAATTAATACTTTAAATTTAAAAACTAACGTACTACTTACCGTAGTACCGCAACTGGGTTTGTAGCACTGAAATAATAATGTGTACTTGGTTATTACATAGCGTAGATTGTTTGAAAGACTGCCCAGGGTCTATTGGTCGCAAGTTCGATACGCGTTTTCTCAATGTGTATTGAGAAAATGTACAAAACTAATCTCTCACAGAATTTAGCAATATATCCCATGTATAATAATAAGATTAACCTCTTTAATAAACAGAAACAGTGGTGCTACACAGAATTATTAGCTTACTAGCTTGCTAGCTAGGCTACTTTTGTCTGAAAGGGGTCTTCTCTGCTAATAGTATTGAAATAAAATTATTCCTTATACAAGCTTACCCTGGATTGGCAAGAATCACCATCACACTGAAAAATAAAAGTTTTATTTTCAGTTTGAATTGATACAGGTTTTGTTTATTTTAACACGGATTTTATTGTGATAAATTAACACAGAATACAATTATATTTTATTGTTATTTTTTTGTAAAGGGGATAATTATCATATGACTTCTTCCACCCAGGGTCGGGCGGGAGTGAGTGTCAGACTCTTACTGATTAAAAACCCCCTTCTGGGCCGAGGCCACGGCGACTCATTGCGCTTATCCTGCAACCTTGGCTGATACATTTTTCATTAATTTGTATTACACAAAAGTATAGAGGAGAAAAGAAAACAAACATAAACCCAAAAAAACTAATAAAAAAAAAACAAATAAACAGCAAAGACATTAAAACAATTAGGATTTTCTTACTTTTTTAAATATTTTTATACAGATATCATAGCTTGGATACAGAGTATACGGATTATATGATGGTAAGCAATCAGCGCCGCTGGACACTTGTAATACCAAAAGAGTTACTATAAGTGCGTTGCCGGTTTCTTGTGGGTTATCAGGAATGTAAGGATAGAGGATTTGAGGATGGGGGGGGGCGGACGGACAATTGGCCTCCAGTAATCTAATTCACACGGCGAAACACCCTTTCCCAATTCCCTAAGTCAAATCCCTCAAACACATCTTATAATTGTAGAGGCGGCACCTATATATAGATATATTAGACTGTCACAGAGTTTCGATCGTGATGATTAGGCCCAATTCCTCTCCATAGCCTTAAAAGCCAATACAATCTTAATCCTTCAAAGACCGGCAACGTTCTTGTAACTCCTCTAATATATAAGTGTCTAGGGTCCAAAGATGTTTAAGGACTATCCGAAAGCCGTTACCCCTAACACTTCCTTTTTATTTACTTCTTGTTTATTGTAATTTGTTTTAAACTTGTCAAATAGAGAATTTTGTTATAAAAATTATCTTATCTTTAGTATAGTTAAGTCTTGTTAGATATAATTTTTATTATTTATCACTGTCCATAACGCTCTCTTTCAATTGTAGCTACCTTAATATGTTATGCAACTAGCTTGAAACTTAATAATTGGTAACTATACATTTAAGTGTTGTAATGACCACTGGTGGTTCTAATAAACATAAATAGATAAATAAATCCCTTAAAGGCAGGCAACGCACTCGTAACTCCTCTGGTGTTGTGGGTGTCATTGGGCGGCGCTGATTGCTTACCATCAGGTAATCCGTCTCCTCGTATGCCATCAATAAAACTTGTACAACTTACCTCATAGTCATAAAGTCTTTTCGATCCGAGAACAGTTTCAAACGCCAGCCACTCTGTGTCTGAGGTCTTGTTAAGATCCATCGTCCTTAAGATGACCTCGATTGGTGAATCATTCTTAGGAGTCACTATAGGAGGCGCCGTTGTTACTTCAACAAGAGCCTCCGTCTGTTGGTAATTGTGCTTTATTATTTTAAACTGTAAGTTCATTTTGTGATTAGCAAATGAGTTGTGATTGTGATGAATTTGTTGATTTGAAAAATTCACAGTATCGAAATGGTAGTCTATTATACCCATAAATGAGATCTTCGTGTCGATTAACGCAGTCAGGAAAAGTGTAAATAGAATTTTCTAAATGAATTCTCTGCCCCATCTACCCGTGGCAATAAATCCACCTTGAACATAAAAGTCCGCGCAGAAGCTTAAAAAAATCAATAATATTAAAAAAAACAAGGATATTAAGAAAATCCTATATAACTTATTCTTGACATTAAAATGGATCTGATGAATTTAATAGGTGATAACTTTTCAACCAGTCCATCTTTCGGTGACGCGGAGATATGACATGTGAATGAAAGTCCCTACATATTCTCCTTGGCAGACAGTGTTCTAGTGATTAAGGCATCCAGCTCTCATAGATGTAGGCGTTAATAAACTGGCTCTTTTTTCGAATTACTTTCCGATATAAATAAGACGCCACTGATATGCGGTGAAGAAAAACGTAGCGAGGAAATTTGGACATATCCGAAATCTCCTTGGCAGAGGAGGTCTTTGCTTAATTGTGGATTGGGCTGATGATGACAATGATGATTACATTTAAGTGTGTTTTCATTTGGTCGATAATGATGGTGATGATGGCATTAATATAATCGCTTGATACTCACAGTTAATCCTAATCGATCCATACTCTCATCCACTATTGGAACATAAAGTACCCCCTGAAAATGAAAACTCAAATACACTATTACTGGATCTTTGAGTTCAACACAAAAACACGAAAGGTGACTAGAAATTAGTGACCGATATTTAAACACGTGATTGTACTCATGATAACTTTCCAAAAGAAACTTACTTTCTATACTCATAAGTCTTATTTTTAAACCCCGACGGGAAAAGAGGGTTGTTATAACTTTGAAGTGTCTGTCTGTCTGTCTGTCTGCCTGTGGCATCATGGAGGCTGAACGAATGAAGCGATTTCAATTTAGTTTTTTATTACTATAACAAAATTAGTGGCGGCGTGCAAGTTCAAACGCTTTGTTTGTGAGGGGAAAGTCATCAAATGGCTTCTCCCGGCCAGGGTCAGACGGGAGGGAGTGTCAGACTCTACCTGACTTAAACCCCCTGTACTCCTGCTCTGGACCGAGGCTGTGGTGTCTCATTGCGCTTACCCCGCAACCCCGGCTGAACATCGGCCCTATAGGACCCCGTCTGTGGTAGTGTATAGGCTCTCAGAGGACGCGCCGAACGCTACGCGCCGTATGCTCGGGTCTGGTTAGGCAACAAGCTACCCTTACTCGCCAATCACAGACACGCGCTTACGGTGGCCGGAGATCGTATCTCGAAGTTCAAACGCTGGGCCTCACCGCCAACAGTTGATCAACTCACTATACAAACGATGATCCTAATAGAAATAAAACTAATGAATACATGAAAAAAGTTTCTTTTGTAAAGTTGCATGTTATCATGATTACAGTCACGTTTTTAAATATCGGTCACTAATTACCATTTACCAAGCATTTTTTTTCATCATGCATTTTTCATCAAGCATTTTTAAAAAAAAAAAAACTTTGCCCCACATTAGGATTTTCTCCTGTGTCGTGAGTGCGGTTACAAACATACAATTTCACATACACATTACACCCAGACCCAGAACAACAATTTGTGGATCACACAAAGAGTTGTTCCGTGCGGGAATCGAACCCGCGACACGTTGCACCGCACCAACCGTGCAGCATACTGATTAAGAATCTGTTCACACAGCAGAATCACAGTAGTTCGCACTATGAATAAATAATATTGACATGAAATTTGTCAGTACAATATTTTATCCTAGCTGAAACACACATCTAGAATATACGACATACCATGATTGAATTAACCCATTTCTCGCTCTGCACTACAAAATATTAGCGCGGGCTTATAATCGTGGCGCCTCGCGCTGCGTTTTTTTAATTGAACGATATTTCAATCGCCAGTGAGAATACTTCCATAAGATTTAATGTGCTACAAAATTTAATAAACGAAATAATTATATAATAATTCAATGATTCAATTCATGAAATCCCTAATCCCTAAAAGGTCGGCAACGCACTCGTAACTCCTCCGTTACGGGTGTCCATGGGCGGCGGTGATTGCTTATCATCAGGTAATCCATCAGGTTTGCCGAACAATTACATAAAAAAAATATAATATTATATCGCGCGAATTTTATTTCGTTGTGACCGCTGGCTCTAAACATCTTTCCTTCTCCATAGGAAGATGTCTTTTTCAACAGTGCAGGCTGATGATATATTTGTTTATTTGTATCAATTCATAATATCTAAGTAAAAAATCTTAAAACAATACACACCTCAATAACAAACTGTTGATTATTATGAGTATCCTTATCCTGAAATAATAAAGTTCAAATTAGTATTTAAAAAAAATATGAATGGATCTAGTGAAAGAAAGAAATCTTACAGTAATCTGACTCACAATCCTAAACACAACCGTAATTTCACGTCGGAATTTTTTGTGGCCTGTTTTGCTATCGCCTTTTCTTTAAACTAGCGACCCGCCACAGCTTCGCACGGGTGCAGAGCGTATAGCAAATTTCTTCTCATAGAATACATATAAACCTTTATCTTCACTTACTCTATCTATTAAATAAAACGCATTAATATCCATAGCCTAGTTCTAAAGATTTAAGCATGCATAGGGACATAGGGACATAGAAAGCGAGCTTTGTTTTATACTATGTAGTGGAAGTGGTAACAAACTTTACCGTTACTTTCGCCAGTCCATCGCTTGTAGCTTGCTGGAAAGACAAATAGATTAATATAAAGTTACTACAAATATCATAAGGATAGTTGCAGTATACCTATGCACTATGTATTAAATTTTAAGCTTACCGAAGTTAATGGAACCCAACGTATTGGTGCTCCGAAGTCATCCTAAAAATATTTAAATCAAATAAGCTACAAGACATGTACTAATAAATATGCATAAATAAAGATTCACATGATAAAGTGTGGGAAAACCAGTGACAAGGCAATGGGTCGGCTCGACCGGAATGATACCGCGGTCTCACAGAAAACCGGCGTGAAACAACCACAGTTTTGTGTTCCGCCATGTAAGTGAGGGTACGGGATGCCCAATCCTTCCCCTCCCCCAATCCATCCCCAATTCCGAAAACTCTAAAACCTTAATCCCCAAAACGTCGTGACTCCTCCGTTGTTGTGGGTGTCCATATTGTCCATAAGCGGCGCTGATTGCTTACCATCAGGTAATCAGTCTGCTCGTTTGCAGTTCTATCACATAATAAGAGAAAAGCATTAATCACTGTTTTATTTTTTTTGTTATGCAATACAAAAAGACATTTATTTTGGTTTTCTAACTTACATATTTTCGTAATCGTTGTAACTTCTCCTCTTTGGTGAGCGGCTGTAAAAAATATTAAAAATATGGTGACTCACGTAATAATTTGCTGCTCATGAATATGGGCCTCTAGCATGACTTGAAACTAGTCGAGTATCTCGTCAAATTATTACGTGAGTAAGCCGAAAACATAATAAATAATTTAGAATGTCTCACGAAAGTTATAATAAAAATATGGTGACTGTCACAAAATATTTAAATTATACATATAATGTATATTTTTTTTCAGAAAAACTAATATGGATCCGTGCTTCAGAGTAGTCGTCACGATTTAAATTTTCTTACGTTTCTTGCAGTTTACTGTTCAATGGAGCATATTATAATGGTAAAACTTATATCAGCAATAATGTCGTCTATAAGTTTACACTACTTACACTTATTAAAACCAATAATCGGTCAATTTAGAGCAAGGGCCAGATCTGCCATTTTATAAAAACTTTGCAAGCCTTCTCAAAGCGTCGCTTCGTATTGAGTCGCCTTGAAAAGCTTTAATGTTATTACAACAAATATATAATTTATAAATATTGTAACAAAACTATTATAATGTTACTTACATGTATTGTTGTTGTTAACTGTTAATCAAGTATAAAATTATTATTCATAATTAAAACTATATACCTATATATATAACTCGATGCTCATCTAACTTGACATACGCAAAATTAAAATACATTGACGCAAATATGTATAAGACTTTATTTTAAACTAAAACCTCTTACAATAAAACTGAAAATTAACTGTAGTCGAAAATAGCTTGATGTGATTATTAATATAGGTAATATTATAAACAATATTAAATTGAGAACAGTGTTATTTCAGTCACACCGCATTTTTTATGGTTTACTAAGATTTGTCGAGGCACTGCGAACTCAAATGTTATACGAAACAAATAAAGTATAATTTTGATTATCATCTTCCAGCCTGTATTGTCATTAGTCCTTAGAAAATTTCCAGCGTGAAAGAGCCAAGCTTCGGACGATAGAATTGGCTCAACCGAAATGATACCACGGCCTCACAGAAAAACCGGCGTGAAACAATCACAGCATTGTGTTGAACACCGCAAGCTCTGCCCTTCTCTACCTCCATCTTATCCCTTTCCCGAATCTTCAAAACCCTAATCCCTAAATTGCCGGTAAGTTATTCGTAGCTCCTTTGGTGTTTCGGATGTCCATGGGCGGCCCCAATTGCTTACCATCAAATAATCTGTTGTTATTGCCGATACTGTCGAAAACAAATAAGGGCCTGTTCCAAACTATCAGTATACTCGCTATATCTATACTAATATTATAAAGAGGTAAAAGTAAGTTTGTATATTTGTAAGTTTGTATGTAGGGAACCTCTGGTCGGATTGTCAAAATTCTTTCACTGATATATAGCTGCAATGTTCCTGAGTGCTATAGGCTATAAAACATCACGCTACTATAAAATGGAGCTGAGCAGCGAGTGTAACCGTGCGAGGAGCTAGTATAAGATAAGTTTAAAGAAAGAACGTAATTTATATAAACTCCGTGCCACATAAGTTTATGGAGAACTTACACAAAAGTGGTGAAATAACCCTTTAATATTTTAAACAAATAAATCCGAGTTTCAAAAGTAATATTATAATAAACTTACGACTGTAGGTATCGGAGCAGTTCTCAGTATTTTATCTTCACCCTAAAGATTTAAGGATTATAATATTAATAAAACAAACTGCATGACTTTTAAAAATGTTGTCTAGTTTCTTTAAAGATTCAGATAATATTATCAGATATTATATTTTTTAACACTTTTTTTTCAACACCATCTTGTTGGGTTAATTTTTTGTATATAATGAAAGAATCTGTATTATACTCACTTCTCATCAAATTGTTTTACTAACATAAAGTTGACCATTCTATGGGGATTAACCTACTTTTTTATACCATTTTATACCATTAATCGATCAATTCTTGCATACATATATCCATTAGATCTGGAAGACAGCTCCAAAGATTCCAAAGATTTTTGGTAGTTTAAAAAAAAGTCCGTTGATATCTCCGTCATTTAGGTAATACTTATATACCATTGGGCTAGTTTATTTATCAGATGGAAAATTGAATGATTTAATGCTATTGGTAAACATATCCAGGACATTCGATTTGTACATTTCTCAGGACTTACTTTACGTCATTTATTCGTTGCCTCAACCTAAGAACGGATTTGAGTGTCACCGCGCTTGATAGATTTCCTGGAGATTGCAGTTAGGTGACAGAAAATTCAGCTAAGGGTGCAACATACGCTGTCCATGAGTGTGCAAGAACGGCTGCGGTACGACAAGAATGGCGTCGTGCAGTAGAACGTGTCATGCAGATGGATCATGATTTAGGCCAGGACCACTCAGCGAAGAGTGAAACGACTTAAAAAAAGGCAAGAGAAGAAAATTTGGAAGATGGTTGACTACTGTTTCAGAACCTACATCAAGGTTTATAGCAGATCCGATCTTATGAAGAGGCCAGCAAAAGACTACGGCAATAAAAACAGATCGAAAAAGACTACGGCAATATTACATGTAAGATGAAAATCTATAAAACTACTTACCTTAGTTTTATTTATTGCGATTTGCAACAAATCATACCCGGTTGGCTGAAAAGTATTTATTTGTTATTTTAGATTTTACGTTCAGATAATTCTATTCATAACATCTGTAGGATTAATTCAATTAACCATGGCGCAAAGTACATCATTTTTAAATGCAAACCAATTAGTACGAAGACGATTTAGGGAAATACCAATCTGTACTTAAACAATAAGCTGCTATTTAAATAATTCTTTTTGTTCTGGATAGTTCTCTTTCCGGTTCCATTTATCTTGGGAGACAAAGGCTTGAACACACTACACGCTAAAACGCAGCAAATATAAAGAGAGCAGCTCGTGAAACCCAGCGGATGTAGTTAGTTAATTATATATATGTAATTTCTCAGACAATAAAGACAAAAAACACTTAATCACTGCGTGCACATGCAGTACAAACACGTCTATAAATGAATTACTTACTAGATTTCTTTGACGCGGCTTAAATCCAGCCTGATCTTGTGTTATATCAATATCTGGTAATTTTTGGCCAGGGAAAGAAATGGCAGTATAATTTGCGCCTGAATCATGAAGCCGTGACCCACCCTTTCCTTTGAGAGGGCCTAAAGGTAAACCCATTCGCGATTGTTCTAATCCCGCTGGAGGCTGATAAGCCGGCTCTCCTGGAGGTCTAAAACGTGAAGATCCCCAAGAATTATCAGGTTTCCAGCCTGATCGGCCCTCATTATGCCAATCAGGAGGCGGTCCTCCTGACCCCACACCTTCAAATTGACTGTACATTCTCGGTGGTCTACTTTGCCCATTATTGAATGGCAGTCCCTTTTGCATATTTCCACCAGCTATTTTAGGATGAAAGCCCTTAGGATAATCTGATTCAGAACCTGGTCCAGGCTGAAAATGAGGTCCACCCACCCGCAGAGCATGTTTTAAATTACTTGAATGGTCTCCATTAGAATACGCTTTGTTCTCTGGCGGGAATCGAGGTGTGTTGCTGTTGCCTGGTCTCATTGGTTTACTCTTCATAAATGGATTTTCTACAGCCTTTGGATATACACCTCTGTTAGGCTGAGTCATACCATAGACCCCAGGGTAATTTTGCGAATCATCGTTGTAGTTTGGTCGGTAACCATTTGGAAAGTCAGCCTCAGACCCTGGACCTAGAATCTTACCATTCCCTCTGGGAATGTCATCTTCATTTACATTCTCATCAAATGCAATTCGTGGTCTTCTAAATGGCCTGTTGTGAGGTGAGATTTCTGGACTCATATCATAATTAGGAGATTCTTCAGACCTCTGCTCAGGTGGTAGATAACGGTCATCTCGACCTGTCGGTATTTTATCTCGTAGGTCATTTGGCCTGTATGGGCGTTCTCTGTTATACATTGGAAATAACCTCGGCTGCTTAAAATTGTCATTAAACCCGTTCCCAATAATCTAAAAATTTATAATATATCAGTTATGGTGTTAATGTTCATATGGTGGATCAGTAATGGAATAATTTAGACATAGTTAGGATAAAAATGTTTAATCTTTTTTATATAAATAATGTATATACAAGGTGTAAAAAGACACTTAACGAAGCCGAAAGCCACGTATTCTACCCATTATTTGGATCATTTTTTTCTTTAAGACCATAGCTGGGACTCCACGGGTTCTCGAAATATTGAAGGTCAAAGATGCATTTTTAATTTTTCTTTTTTTGCGCAATCGAATTCTAAGTATTATTACAAAACTTTGTTCCAAACAAATATTACCTGAATTTTCGTTTTTTTTAAATAAATTACGCATTTAAGTTCGAAGTTACGAACAGTAATGTACGTAATAAATAAATGCAGACCCCCACAAAAAACATCGTGCATCTCAGTAGGATTTTTATTTTACAGAATTGTTTTGTTGTTGCGAAGTAAAACGTCGACCTACGTACTTATCACAGCGTTTTAATGCCAAGCTGTGAACCTTCGCACACAATGACACGAAGCCCGTTTGCTTTACATTGCGCGCAATATTTTTTTTTTTTTTAAACCTAAAAATGAAAGTCGTTTCCCAGTGATAATTTTAGCGTAAAGCTACTTAGTTAGAACTGCAGTATGCGTAGTTAACGGCTTCGTTAAGTGTCTTTTTACACCCTGTATATCATAGTCTACATCTCCTTTTAATTCTAACTCTTCCGTAGCGGGTCTGCTCGAAGAAATTTCTGGAGGGATAAGATGTGCCTTTGTACCAAATTTTTGTATACACATACAGTATCTACTTCTGTCACTAACTCTGTAAGAACATAAACTATAAAGTAAATACATAAATTATAAAACATTAATTACATGATCTGCTTCCAATTGTCGTTCGATATCGCCATATTGTCGTCGCGTCCAAAGCCTTGGTGGATTCATGGGTAAATGGACGCCACTTTTTAACTTTTTCCAATAGGATCCGTGATATTTTTTATTGCGTCCTCTACTATCCCGAGGGGGTTCATTCAATTCTGGTCCTGGATGTAGTTCTGGAGAACTCACTGTAGTACTTGGATGGGATTCTTCCCAATCTGGAGGTGGTGGAGGACCGTGCATTTCCACCAGATTCCACCCCGGGGCTGGTTCCGGATTGGGACTATCACGTGGACCCTGACCCTCATTTTGGAGCCAACCAGCATGAGGATTAGCTTCTGTGCCCCAACCGCTATCAGGGCTATCATCATTTAATCTCTGATCCCTTCCACTACCAAAACCAGGGATCTCCGGATATACTTCGACACCCTCACGTTGATCAGATTCACCAGAAAATACTTCTGGGCCCCTAACGTATGCCTCCGGGACCTTGGGGTATACTGCTGGGCGTCCAGAAAATCCTCGCGGATTCCTAGGAAAACCTCTCGGGCCCCTGTGGTATGCTGCTGGACCTTTAGGATATGCTCCTGCACCTCTAGGAATTGTCCCTGCTCCTCTAGGATACATCCCTGGACCTCTAGTATATGTCCCTGGACCTCTGGGATATGTCCCTGGACCTCTGGGATATGTCCCTGGACCTCTGGGATATGTGTCTGGACCTCTCGGATATGTGTCTGGACCTCTGGGATATGTGTCTGGACCTCTAGGATATGCCCCTGGACCTTTAGGATATGTATCTTGACCTCTAGGAATTGTCCCTTGAACTCTAGGATATGTCCCTGGACCTCTAGGATATGTCCCTGGACCTTTAGGATATGCATCTTGACCTCTAGGAATTGTCCCTTGAACTCTAGGATATGTCCCTGGACCTCTAGGATATGGCCCTTGACCTCTAGGATACCCTCTTGGACCTTTAGGATATGACCATGGACGTCTAGGATATGCCCCTGGACCTCTAGGATATGTCCCTGGGCCTCGAAGATCTACTCCAGGAATTTGAGGATATGTTCTTGCGCCTTGAGCATATTCTTCTGGACCCATACTTTTACCAATGCGGCCAGAATCTCCTCCATCTCCATCTCCAGCGTCCCCGGAAAGTTGTGCCTGATCCCTAAGAAACTTTTGTGGACCAACATCGTCAGGGCCTTTGGGAAATGCTCCAATCCCACCTTCACCAATACCCCGAGCAAATTCTTCTAGACTTCTTTCTCCTTTTCGTCCAAGGTCAAATGGCAATTGTCTTAGTGTTGCTCTCATTTCTTCGGCTATTGCATCATCTTTTGGTGTTAATCCAGCTGCAGCTGCTCTTAATAACTCTTTTGTTGATGACGATTGATTAGATGGTGTCTGCATGATTAAAAATAGGGATTATTTTTCTTAATTACAAGAGACAAAACTACAATTTAATCTAAAATCTTATCATGTTATGTTTGGTAATGTTAAAGTTAGTTACTAAAACTAGGTAATATTTTAGCAAAAAATTTTTTTATATAATTTATGTTGTTTAATCGGGTTCGTGACTTAGGCACCCAGTGGTCGACGCACCCGTGGCAGACGCCCCCGATTCTAATAATTTAATTTAAATTATTTTTTAATCAAAAGTACTGTTAGGCAGCAAAATACCCCCGGTTCCTATATTCAACGAATCGTCATTGTATACGAACGACTATCCGTTTTTCAACTACCGAATACGAATCGTAGATACCGTTCCAATAATCATTTTCTTTACGAACGTCCGTTAGTCATTGAAATACCGAGTCCTCTTCACTGACAGATGAGCGTTTCCTTAAAAGTAAAATTGAAATTCAAGATAACCCAAAATTCAAGATATTTATAGGAACACTATTTAATGTAACACTATATAATATTTATAGGAACACCAAAGACTGTTATCTCCATACAATATGCTTACCGATACCCTCCCATCCGTTAGTTGCAAGCCGTCAGTAAGTTGCACGACGAGACGTTGTTTATAGGAACGGTTTTAGCTTACGAGTCGTATATAAATACAACAAATGAAAAGTAGGCGTGTGATGTTACATAATTCTGAAATGTCTTATTTTTCATAAATGCTCTTCCCAAGCTCGGTGATTATTTAAAATCTTTATTTAATTTAAGTAGTATCTTATAACAGGTAACTAATGAATATTGTAGTTTCGTCTGCCAGTATAAATCTGATTTTCAGTGTAGGTACTTTATTCTGAATTACTTATAACAAGTTTGCTTCAGTGGAAAAGTTATTGTCTATAGTTGTTTAAATATTTCCTTTTTGAAAAAATTTGTTATGTGCTCCAGCTTATCATGATCTAGTTTTGTATGATCTTTCTGCCCTTTCAACGGTTCAGTATATACTGGTTATTCGTAGCTTTATGGTTGGTTATTAATACCCGTGCCGTGGATATGTCTTACCGGTGCCGGTTTTTCAGCTCCCATCCAATAAGGCTCCATCTAAAAAAGACAAAATAAATTATTTTCTTCAAGATGCATTTGACAACCAAATATATTATTATTATTCATGCCATTATAATTGAAAACATAGGTTCTGTACATGTCCAACTTCAATTTTACTACCAACAATACCAATGTCCTTGTTTTCCAACCCAAGTATAAATCAGAAACAACTCGATGCAATGAAATAAATTTATTGTTTCGAACATTTGAAAAATACTTACGCCAATACTAGGATTAATATCTCTTGGTTTAAAATTTTGTCTCTGTAAAGAAAAAAACTTATAAAAATGGACCATAACTTACAATAATTTAAGTAATATTTAGGTAAATTTATAGTCATTCTTATAACTATTATATACGTTAAATTTAACAACGAATAAGTGCGAAACATTTGTCTTTCTAAAAAACTGGTCAATCCGAGTAGGGATGCAGAAAAAAATGTTCTATTGATTTGATGAAAGCCCAAAGATTAACTTCCCTTCTTTTTTAGACTAGGCTCATGGTTCAGAAGAGGACTGTCAGAGGTTATTGATGATGATGGCCTTTATTTTTTAAATATTCTTGCACTCTTTAGATCCTCTTATACATGCTCTTTTGATTTTTTCTATTTAAAAAAGACTTACTGCAGCTCTGCGTTCCTGAAATTACAAACGAATGTTACAAAACCTAATGTATCTAACGCCTTATTCCCAATTCCCTTATGCTAAAATTCTTAAGCCGCAACAAGCCAGCAACTCTTTTATTGTTGACGATGTTGCGAGTGCCTTTGAGTGGAGGCAGTTGTTAAGTATCAGGTACCAATCGCGTCTGCTCGTTTTACACCCTATCGCCTAAAAATAGTGCTTTTAATTCAACACCTAATTATTAAATGTTTCTAGTTGTGTGATTTATACATGCACGAGACAAGGCCCTCCATCCTCTATTACTTGGGACTTATTACATAACAAGTAAATGAGTGGATGTTATATTACCTATTTACATAATTTAGCATTATGTCTGCGTCCTTCAAAGTGGATACATTATTGTTTTGAGGTTAAATACATATGTAGTTAGATTGCCTAATCAATAAAAGTTCCATAATAAATTTTTGATATATCAAACAGTGCCATGACTGAGACTTCTTATTGATGTAGTACTTAGATCTCAAATAGATTGAGACTAAAAAATGGACCCAAATGAAGTCCCTGAGCTACACCTAGCGTACGTATCGTACTTGTACCTTCAAACTGTTTTCTATCACATGTTGTTACATACTTACTTCTTCCTGTTTAGCTTTCTGAAAATAACATCGAACAAAAAAATAAGTATTGCTAATTTTATTTCACATGAGAACATGCATTTTTGTCTTTAAGATCAACTCGAATCTTGGAAATTTCATCAATTTATATTCAAATGTGTATTATTCATAACAGCTTACCAGCAGTAGCGTATTATGCAGTTTCTCAATTTGTATCTCTTCATTATTCCTCCCTCTCTTTTTTTATTTCTAAGTACTTCTCTTTTTAGGATTCCTTTTTAAATTTATTTAAGTGACTATGACAATTTCACTGTATACTTACTTCCGCTGCTCTTTTTTTCTGAAAATACATTCACACCAACTTAAATTGAAACATTAGCGAGGTGATAGGAAAAGTGCAATAGCATATTGCGGTCCTGCTCGGAGCAAGAAGATAGCAGTACGATGGTTTTTAACTATTATATATTGAGTCTGACACCCCTTATTGCCCAACCTAGGGACTGGGACTTTGGACAATTTTCAACAACAAAAATGGTAACTAGTGTAGTTAAAATTCTCCTCTTATGTACAGGTAATCAAAAGGTAAAAAAAGACTTTCAAAATCAGAAAGCAAAATACTAACTTAATATTTGTGATCTCTCTTTATATCTCAAAAAAATCTGAATTAATTTCAAGAATTATGTAAATACTTACCTCGCCTTCTTCCCTTGCCAGTAACTGCCTGGAATACGCCTAAAAATTTACAAATACTACTATTATTATTTCTCTAATATGTTGATATTGATACCAGGGCTTAACCAGATTCTGATTTTGGTAGGTGTTGTACATGGAGCAACCTGCCATTTGCCTTCTTAGAACTGATACCTACCGAGCTCATCACTTAAATGAAATCCCTTGTCATTCTCATTCGTCTCCAAACCCCAATGCTTAGCAATTATTTTCGGAATAATTCGTTTCTAAGAAGTAATTTAAGTAATAATTAAATATCTTTGAGTACAGCAGTAAAGGAATAGAATAGAAATATATAAAAAAGAAAGCTAAAACCGATACAGGGACTAGACTCTGGTCAAAACCTTTGAGCTTCTGTTTATCCCCGTTTTTATTCGTTCGGCAAACAAGCAGACAAACAATTGGCGCCCATGGACACTTGTACAAACCAAAGGAGTTACAACAAGTGCAAATGCCCTTTGCCGGTTTTCAGGGATTTAAGAGTAAGAGAATTAGGGATTAGCTTGGGCCTCCAGTAACCTCACTCACACGGCAAAATACAACAATGTGAATCAATGTTGTTTCAGGCAATTACTAGGATTGTATAATTTTGTTCGCACCAACCGCATGAATGCTCTGCACGTCGATTCTATAGAATTTGCTTGATTTTGAATCGTGTTCGAGTGCGAAGTCAGCGTTGTTTGAAGTGACGGGGAAATTAAATTTTTGAATGCCACTTTTAACGTCATTTCATACTTTATCTTTCAAAATGATGCTGTCAATTTAGTTCAACTCGCAAGTGTAGCGCTAGTGTACTACTACTCACGGCGGATTCAGATTCGAAGTTTAGAATGAAGTCTTACAGAATCACACTGCTGCACGGCCTTATGGTTGATTGTTAGAGAATGCCTTATGGCATTAAGCCCGCCCTTCAGACTGTTTTGTGTAAAGAAGAAATATTAAGTTATAAATAAATTATGTAACAACTATTACTGTCAGCGTGTTTTGAGAGACATATAAATGATTTATGTTTTATAAATGAGGAATGCTATCCTAGTTGAGCATCCACCCGTCATTCATTAATGATTTAGCCACACATGAAATCATTACATGGTACTTAATAGACAACAAATTCACTTTCTCCCTCCTTATATCCGTATGTGTACTTATATATTTAAAACTACACAACGGATTTTGATGCGGTTTATTACAGTAATTGAAGAGGAATATTTATATGTATTATAACACCCATTTAATAAAAGAGAAATTTAGTGCATCCATGCAAAACCAGTGCGGGTCGCTAGTTATGAATGAAATGTTTGTGTAGTTTAGAAAATTTCAAATAAATCCTAATCAGCTTCGTTATCCATAAATTTTCCTCATTAAATATAATTAGTACTTACGGCCCACATATGTGCGTCATCCTCCCACTGTGAAATAAATATGTAGAATAACAGTTTTTTGAGGTTAGCCATTGATTATTATATTAAGCATACGTTATATTGGATTGTTGTTTGATTTCTGGCAACTTGTTCGTGTATCTGTCTATTGATACTTCAAACGGATGTCGACGTAACTTAACTTTATTCTCAGGGCAATAGAAAAGAAATTTAAAAAAATAATATGGACACAAAAGAAAATATTTTTAGGGTATTATTCCATTGAAGCACACAATAACACAAAAGGGACCCATCCCGTGGCATTCTGCTTTATAATGATATTTTAAAATGAAAAGATAGACAATAGAGAGATATACATCATCGCATATCATTAGCCTATAAGTGCCCACTGCTGAGCAAAGCCTCTTCTTACACGGAGAAGGTTTGAGCACTAGTAACCACGCTTGCTCAAGGCGGATTGGCGATTTCAAATTTGTAATAGGAAATTATAAGTTCAGGCTTTTCTCACAAGGTTTTCCTTTACAGTCAGTAGTGTCTAACTAATCATAGAAAGAGCATAAAACTCGGCATTGGTACTTGCCAAGTTTCGGACCTGCACTCTCATTCATGAGGAGCCTCGTTCATGCATGAAGATTCAAGAGATATTGTGTGTCACAAAATACATATATTATTTACAACTATCCTTTTCGTCCATTATTTTTCTTGCTACCTACAGCTACCGGCAACTCTGATGATATCGGGGCCAGCTAGAGGGAAGCCTGCTGATGTTAAGTCTTCGATTCCATGATAGCCACTGGAACACTACCCTAGTCCTCCAGCTGTTACCTTACAAATACTCACGTTTTCCATAACTTCGCCATCTTTGTAATTTTCCTACGACAAAAATAATAAGTTTCACGTGTGTATTACGTTGTATAAATGGGAATAAAAATTATATAATATATATTATACGGTAATAATTATAAGTTTTTCTTATTTATTGTCCGCAAAGTCGCAAAGAAGACACTAGATGATTTCTGCCCTTAAAGTTTAGCGGTCCCGGACTGGACCAGGAGAAGGAATGGCGTGGTTAATAATCAGTAAGAGTCTGACACTCCCTCTCGCCTCAGCTACGCGAGAGAAATCATTAAGTATTACATATTTAATCTATTATATACTAAAAACAAAGTCGTGATACTTTAACTATTTATAACTAAACTTTAAGCCAAATCGGTTCAGCAGTGTGATTCTGTAAGATTTCATTCTAAATTTCGAATCTAAATCCGCTGTGAGTAGTAGTACACTAGCTCTACACTTGCGAGTTAAACTAAATTGACCGCAACATATTGATAGATAAAGTATGAGATGACGTTAAAAGTGGCATTCTATAATTTAACTTCTCCGTCACTTCGACGCTCACTTCGCACTCGAACACGAATCAAAATCAAACAAATTTTATAGAATCGACGTGCAGCCCAAGAACGGCTGAACTGATTTGGCTTAAAATTGGTAGGTAGGTAGCTAAAATATGGGAGAAGAACATAGAATAGAGTAGGTAGAGTAGAGTAGGTAGGGTTTATTTTTGTAAGAGGAAAATCATCATGATTCATCAAAATTGACTTCTCTGGCCCAGGGTCAGGCGGGAGGGAGTTTCAAACTCTTACTTACTAAAAACCTCCCTCCCGTTTCTTCTGCTGCTCTGGACCGAGGTCACGGTGCCTCTTTGCGCTTATCCCGCAACCGCGGAGAGAAGGTAAAATAAACATTATCTCTATCTCTATCTCTATCTCTATCTCTATCTCTATCTCTATCTCTATCTCTATCTCTATCTCTATCTCTATCTCTATCTCTATCTCTATCTCTATCTCTATCTCTATCTCTATCTCTATCTCTATCTCTATCTCTATCTCTATCTCTATCCCTATCCCTATCCCTATCCCTATCTCTATCTCTATCTCTATCTCTATCTCTATCTCTATCTCTAAAAGTTAAACATTAGATATTTATCGTACCTAAAAACCCTATTTGTAAAAATGTTATACTACGCGCTACATACATTTTCTTCAGCTACCAAAGCTTTGAACTCGTCCCACTGAAATAATAACTCAGGATGTTACTGGGTTTTCCACTTACTAGCCAAATAGATATGTAATGATAAAACAGTACCTTGTTCGTCTGCGTCAACCTGTTTTCCTTCAAATTAAAAGAAAAACATTATAAAAAATTAAAAAGTAATTTTAATATGGTTACGTATAGTATATCAGTGGGATTCCAAATAATATGAAATTTAAAAATTAAGAATGAAGAGTGTGGGAGAGCCATGCTTTGGCACGAATGAGTCGGCTCGACCGGAGTAATACCACGGCCTCACAGAAAACCGGCGTGAAACAACCACACCGTTGTGTTTCGCTATGTGAGTGAGGTTACCGGAGGCCCTATATTTCCCCTCCCCCAATCCCTCCTCAATCCTTAAATCTCCAAATCCCAAAAAAGACACTCGTAACTCCTCCGTTGCGAGTGTCCATGGGCGGCGCCGATTGCGTACCATCAGGTAATCCGTAAGCTCGTTTGCCGACCTATTACACAAAAAAGAATGATGGTATTTATTTCTCGTTCTGTTTGGCTGCTCGCCTGGACGAACAGACTGACGGAGTTTTTTTTTGACATTTATGATGTAGCTATACACATGTATATTAAAATACGGTTTGGTTCTAATTAATGCTCTGTTCTTCCGACATTTTTGAAAATCCAACATATGTATATATGAAAGTATTGGGCAGGATCACAAAAATTTTCAGTTAATATTTCGGATTGACTGGGCAAGTTCCAAGTACCTCACAAAATCCTAGCTGAAAATGGTGATGTCATATTACCTTCTGCATTTCGTCCGATAAGTAAGAATTCCTGATACACAAACCACAGTTTAATCACGCTTTCGTTTTCAGGAACCGGTGGCACAATTCGAAAGCTTTAATTAAGGAGGCAAAGGATTGGAATGCTCCTATAGTATTCGCCATATGAGTGAGGTTACCGAAGCACCGAATCCTCAAATTCCTAATAAGCACAAAAAATCAACATTGCAATTAAAAATCTTCTGGTGTTGGGAGCGTCCATGGGTAACGGTGATAGCTTACCATCCATAGAAAGGATGAGAAAGAAACTCCATCAACTTTGTGTAAGAGCTACGCTTCGGCAAGAATGGGCCGCCTCGACCGAAGCGATACCGCCGCCTTACAGAAAACCGCCGTGAAACAACCACAATGTTGTGTTTCGCCGTATAAGTAAGGTTACCGGGGACCCAATCCTTTCCCTCACCCAATCCGTAAATCCTCAAAACCCTAGTCCCCAAAAGTTCGGCAACGACTTTGTTACTCTTCCGTTGTTGCGATGTCCATGGGCGGTGCTGATTGCTTACCATCAGGTAACCCGTCAGCTCGTTTTCCCGACATTGAAAAGAACTAGCAGTTATGCTATTTGTCTGAAGAAGCTTACTACGAGTAACATGTGCAATATAAAATTCTTACCAAATTCACCAAATCTATGAAATCATGACCGCCTACAGATTTACCATCAGGATTAGGGAAAATGGCGTTGGTGTCTTCCTCGTCCTATGAAAATACAATTAAAATCATCTTACCATATATTAAGCTACCCAGTCCTCCACCCATCCCCCCATCGAGCTGTTCATTAATATGAGTCCCAGTGTGATTTGAAACTAGTTGAGCATCACATTCACATACATCGAGTTCACGCGATTAACTGCTGCACTCGAGACATTTACTGATTACTTAAAATATTCCTTAGTAAGGATTTTGGTTCGAAAACAATTGCTATCCTTAGCAATTGTGTTAAAAAAAAAATTAAAAATGCCTCTTTGACCCAGTCTTCTGGGTCAAAGATGCATTTTTAATTTTTTTTTTTGCGCAATCGAATTCTATGTATTACTTATTACAAAACTTTTTTCCAAACAAACATTACCTGAATTTTCGATTTTTCTAAATAAAATTTTTAAATTTTTAAATTACGTACCTATTTGAAGTTACGAACAGTAATGTACGTAATAAATAAATGCAGACCCGCACAAAAAACATCGTGCATCTCGGTAGGATTTTTATTTTACAGATTTGTTTTGTTGGTGCGAATTAAAACGTCGACCTACGTACTTATCACAGCGTTTTAATGCTAAGCTGTGAACCTACGCACACAATGACACGAAGCCAGTTTGCTTTACATTGCGCGCAATAAAATTATTTTTTTTTAATACCTAAAAATAAAAGTCGTTTCCCAGTGATAATTTTAGCATAAAGCGAAGCCATTTAACTACCCGTTACCTACTCGTACTGCAGTTCTAACTAAGGAGTAGTTAGAACTACAGTACGGGTAGTTAACGGCTTCGTTAAGTGTCTTTTTACACCCTGTATATGGCGGTCTTACACAATGAGTTTTTTTTTGTAGTCTGACTGTAAGACTTAAAGACTTATTTTCAGAGAAGATAATGTCATTTTTAAAGTAAAAAAACAAACTTCTTTTTTGTAACGGAAAAATCATTAACCTACTTGTCTTTTGAGGGAATGTCAGACTCTTGCTGACTTAAATTAGAAGTACCTACTGACCAGAGGCCTTATTCTCCTTAACCAAATTATTTTATCATTTACTTATATTATACTTACCATTTGTTGTACAATATTCTGGTTTGTGGGATCCCCTCGACCCTGCCAGGAATAAAATAAGACATTAAAAATAAGAAATACAAATATAACTAATCATCAAATAGTTCGTCAGATTGCACATATAAATTATGTATTGTGTTCTTTACAGAATTTTTGTTTTATTTTTTCTTGATTTTCTCCACATTTGTTTCGTGCAGGATACATCAAATCCGAAATAATAAAAGATAAGTGTATATTTTTTTTAAAGAGTAACGATGGAATTTCTTCCTCGTTCTTTTCCATTCGAATCTACAATTTGGAATGAGCAACTAGCTTCACTGACGAACAGACTGACAGACTACTTTACTTTACTGATTTAGCAGGAGTAAATGGTTTTGACTTGACTTTGACTTTGACTAACACATTGGATACTAGCCAGACATTCCAGCACCAGAACAGAACAGTTCGTTGTAATGCAAAAAAATATATACGTACTTATGAAGTCTGACAGAATAACGCTAATACCTAAGCGTAGTGTAATATGCAACACCGTGCCGAAGTAAGCTCTTTTATATTGTACTAAATATACTACACTACAAAATAGATATGGAACGGGTTTTTTAATGGAACAGGAGGCAAACTAGCAGACGGATCACCTGATGGCAAGTGCTAGCCACCAGAGGAGTCACAGGTGCGTTGCCGGCCTTTCATGCATGCATGTGTGGCCCACGAAAATGTGTGATGTCTTTCTAAATTATTAATTAATTAAAGGTTTGGGTCACCGGTACCCTCACTCACACAGAACGCTGTGGTTGTTTCACGTCGGTTTTCTGTGAGGCCGTGGTATCACTCACTGAATTGTACTCACAAGAGAAACTGTGACTTTACGTTAGGAAAACCAGTCTGTCTGGGTATGTAGGTACTTACCAACGGAGTAAATTGTCTATTTTTCTGCAATTATACGTAAAAAAATTATTAAATTGTTGAAACAATAGTACCAATATACATAGGCAAGTACCAATGTGACTTTTTCCGAGTTATATGTACTTTCTATGATTATTTCATCATTTTGTTCTGTGGCAATGTCGTTGGACCCAAAATTCGCAGGTCACGCGTGAATTCGCACCGTAACGCGCGTAAGAACTGCGAGCGTCAATACGCGGCATTTTCATGACAGACACTTTTTTTTTTTTTTTTGTTAGGGGAAAATCATCCAATGACTTCTCCCGCCCAGGGTAAGGCGAGAGAGAGTGTCAGACTCTTACTGACTAAAAACCCCCCCGTTCCTTCTCCTGCTCTGGGCCGAGGTCGCGGTGCCTCATTGCGCTTACCCCGCAGCCCCGGCTATTCATGACAGACACTGGACAGGCTTTGAGTAGCGAAAACATTTGTTCCTTTGTGAACACGAGAAAAATCAAGCGACTTTGTACCACAAACTTGCAGATAAATACCACGTGAAAATATCTCTCAGCGACTTGTCTTATTTTTTAAAATTAAAATGTAACTTTAAACCGCAATTAAAAAATTGGCGCCACACATAAGATGGATAGAACCTTTTTAGAAGCAGATAGCCATAAACCAGTAATTGTCTCAGATAGCGTGTTCATGATATGACACATAATCCTTTCCGAAATTTTGCTTTTACAAAATTCTTTGTATTTACAGTACTTACATATGTTGGAGCTGATTCATGCTGAAATATTAACAATAATGTAAGTAGATTATTAAAAATATTAATTAATATACGAATAAAACTTTATATCAAAGCCTCGATTACGCATACGCGGACGTCGTTTAGTTTTGTCGTACATTGCCGCAACAGACCGCATCATAACTCACACAATCACAAACATGTGAACATAAAGAGCAATGTACGCGTATCCATAACCGAGGTCTAAGAGACACTAAGAATATAGAAAAACAATGTCGTGGTAGCCCATTGGTTAAGGCACCTACTTCCATGCATGACTAGGTCGACGTGGATTTGAAACCTAGCAAGTACCAATGTGACCTTTTGAGTTATATTTACTTTCTGATATTTTTAAGATACGGTGAAGAAAACATTGTAAGGAAACCTGGAAACTTCCACTATAAGGTCGGCAAACGAGCAGTCGGATTACCTGATGGTAAGCAATCAGCGCCCGCCCATGGACACAATGGCAAAGGAGGAGTTACGAGTGCGTTGCCGACCTTTTGAGGACTCAAGTTTTAGAAATTTTAAGATTTAGGAGCAATTGGAGGAGTGGAAGGATTGGGCCTGCGGTACCCTTACTCACACGGCGAAACACAACACTGTGGTTGTTTCACGCCGGTTTTCTGTGTGCGACAAATTAGTGCCAAAGCTTTCCCATCTTTGATTTAAACGTTTAGCTAAAATAGAGCTCTTTATCCATGTTTAATTTCTTCGATAGGTTTGGTATAATACTTACAATTGGCAATCCGTTCGGAGGTATTATGCGTTGTTGATACATTTCACTTGCTTCGACGGGGTGATATCCTGGTGGATGGTAATCAGGCTGAAACACAAGTTTGAAGTGTAATTTTTTGAGATTTGGACATTGGTCCCAAGATAAAAGATGTTGTAATTGAACTCTTTCTACTTTCTGCCCCGCACAGCAAAACTTTGGAATGATCTTCCGGCGGCGGTATTCCCGAACCGATACGACCTTCAAGAAATGAGCATATTCCTTCTTAAAAGGCCGGCAACGCACCTGTGACTCCTCTGGTGTTGCAGGTGTCCATGGGCGGCGCCGATCGCTTACCATCAGGTGATCCGTCTGCTCGTTTGCCACCTATTCCATAAAAAAAAACACCAAAATCGGCTCCTTCAGTCTGTCCCACATTTAATCTAATACACTGTATACTATAGGTAATATATTGGTGATATGGTTGTGCAGTCTCACCTCTCTTGTAACTGGAGGCGAATGGAATGACACTCTTTGCTTAGCATTTTTCACACCCAAACTCTGAAAATAGAATATAATTTTTAATAGAAAAAACGTTACTTTTTCCACATCCTATTAGCACAAATTATAACAAAACTAACGTCAGTCCACGGCTTCGCCCGCGTGGTATAGTTATAAAAGGTAGCCTATGTCCTATTCCGTAGTGTATCCTATCATGATCATCATCATCATCAGCTGCAAGACGTCCACTGCTGGACAAAGGGCTCCCCTATAGCTCTCCACGTCGAACGACAAATTGCCACCTGCATCCAATGGCTCTCCGCGACTCTAAAGATGTTGTCAGTATCCTATGCCTGTGCCAAATTTGAACCAAATCCGTCCAGCCGTTTTGGCGTGATTGAGTAACAAACATCCAAACATCGTAACTTTCGCATTTATACTCGTAATATTAGTAAGAAGGTAAGATATATTATATTTAATTGGTAAGAGACCAGGAATTTCCTGGAATGATGTGTCTTTTCAACATTGACCTATACAACAGCACTTTCACAGTTTCAGCCCTATTATACCTACAGATGGAAGACAACAATTATACATTCCTGCACTATCTGGCCTGATGGTAGGTGATAATGCGACCTACAATAGAGAACGGTTACCCATAACCTATAAACAACTATTTCCAATTTAATTATTATGTTTTCGGCTTAGTCACGTAATACTCGTAATTAGACGAGATACTCGACTAATTTCAAGCCATGCTAGAGGCCCATATTCATGAGCAGCATTCATGGCTTGCTACTGGAGTAGCAGCGCGACAGTCGCCGCGTCGTGTATCGCGGAATGCATGAATATAATATATACGGGCGGGCAACGTTTGATAAAATTAACAGTACAAATTCAAATTAAGTAAGTACTTATAAAACCCAACAATACCTTCAAATCCTCTTCGTCAAAAAACTCGGGGAACTTCGCCGAAATTATTTGGTCAACCAGACACGCTAAAGCTATAATAGTGATTAAAAAGACACATTTTATCTTTTCCATATCTCAATGGACAATGAATTAAAAACGAATAAACATTGATTGGAACCAATTCTTAGTAATCGAATGCGTGCATATACCTATGATCAAGAGATAATAAACTGTGGATTAAATCATACCTTTTTTGTCAGGGAAAAATCATCAAATGACTTCTCTCGCTCAGCGTGGGGCGGGAGGGAGTGTGACTAAAAACTCCCTTGTTCCTTCTTCTACTCTACGCCGTGGCCGCGGTGCCTCATTGCATTGCGCTTATCCCAGAGCAGGAGAAGGAATAAGCGAAAAAGCGTCTGACACTCCCTCCCGCCCGACCCGGGGCGGGAGAAGTAATTTGATGATTACCCCGTCACAAAAAAAACCCTAGCAGCAGGCCTGAGTTTCCGTATCGTATTCCGTAACACCACATGGTATAAATCAATGTCGCTTTCTCTGTCCCTATACCCATATGTATGTGTCACCGGAAAATAAGAAGATCCGTAAGTTTATCAATTTACTAGGAAGTTTATAAACTTTCGTAAGATTCTAAACGGGAGATAAATTGTAATATTTTACCTCCACATATTCGTAAATTTATCAATTTCCGACGTCATACGGTAAATTTATAAACTAACGAATATCTATTCGTAAGATTTTATATGGCTCGACCAATCACAGAAACTCTTTTAAGTACCTATACGATCTTTGCTATACGTAAAATATCACACTGCTCTCTGATTGGTCAATGTTCATAGTGGCAATGCTTGTGTCCATAGACTTTGGAATAATCAGACTTGACAAACTATAAATTGGAGGCAACAATGCCTGGTTCCTCTCTAGCACAGATGTAGTGAGTTGAGTTTTCTATTATCAGTTTCAGTAACCTATTTAACGGTTTGGTACTTGCTAAAATACAGTTCCGTGGACATATGCATAAAATCTTTGAAACTAAGCAACGGATTTGGATTCGGTTCTCTTAACAGAATAGAGTGATTGAAGAGAAAGGTTTGTATGTACAATAACATCTATTAAATTCAGTATTAGCATAGCACCCGTGCAAAGCCGGGGCGGGTCGCTAGTAAAACTATAATATCTTCTAACTAAATGTTAACAATTCAAACTAGTTGCTATTATATCACCTATAAATCTCGACCTACTTCGACAGCTAAGCAAAAACCGATAAAATAAACGATCGGAAACGTGCAGAGTTAGCAAAAGCGATGGAATGAAAAATGAATCACTTTTTGAAACCATTTTCCTCACTTAAACACTCGATCAGCCCGGATATTAGGGTAAATTCTTGAATGTAGCCCGTTCTACTCGATCGCAGTGTAAACGAGTTGAAAAAACAATACAAAATGGCGGACCGGCGATGGCAATGGAGGAAATAAGGGTGAAATGCTCTTCAATTAGTGCAAGAAGCAGTTAAAACAGAAGGTTCATAAAGAAAATATTTATTCAAGATCCGACGTGACGAAAACACGATTGGGAAGTATGGCTACATATTTTTAGAAAGTAACTAGTAAAACTTTTATTAAAATTAGGTATAGTCATAAGAGTCCCGTTGTGACTTGATACTAGTAGAGCTTTTCTCAGTAAATTTTCGTCATTAGATATTTATTTTCATCGCAATGAGGCACCGCGACCTCGGCACAGGGCAGGAAAAGGAACGGGGGTTTTTTAGTCAGTACGAGTCTGACACTCTCTGTCGCCTTACCCTGGGCAGGAGAAGACATTGGACGATTTTCCCTTGACAAAAAAAAAAACAAAAAAGAAAGGTACTTTCTGTCGTAAATTTTACGATAATGTCGATTAGTGGATATTGTTTCATAGGAAGGTTAGGTTTTTAGTTTTATGTATGCATATTTAGGTAATATAATATCTTGTAAAATGTTGACTGTTGGTTTTAGCCTTCTGTGTTATACATTATATAACTTTACCACGAAAACAACAGTGGGTAAGCAACAAATTAGCCGCCCATTTACAAGCTGGCAGTAGTAGTGGTTTACAACTTTCTCTTGGTTGTAGTTTAGTATGGATGTGTGTTGTAAAAAGCATAGAGTAATAAATACTACATTCGTAAAAAGAAAAAAAAATATAGTTTATTATCAATAAAATATAAGATTGGAAATGTCAAAACTATTGTCAAACTTCGCTGTCAAAAATTGGCGGGAATCATGGAGGTTAGAGAGAAATATTACTACGTGCTAAACGTACGTAGCATTAGCCTAAAATCTTTTAAAAATTTGTAAAATTCATAGTTCATTTTTCATGTAGCAAGTAGATTAAGTTAGTTAAATAATGTACAAATTTACTTCGCGGCATTTGTTAGCGCACAACGCGATCGCAGCGCTTGCCTTATTTTATCCGTATTTCTGAGACTATAGCGATGATTCTCCTTTTCTCTAACTCTCCATGGATGGGAATCCTGTTGTTTATATAGCCCTGGTGTAGGTAGTAAGTATTAAACAAAAACCTAAAAAAACTCTTGGTAGATTTAATAAATATAAGAGATTTTTCCTATCTCAGATAACATTAAAATGTCTTCACCGTTTCTCAAAATCACACCCAAGATCCTAATTTCTACCAAACTTATGGACACCCATAACATCTTAAATTTTTCACACAAAATCTTAGAAAAAAATAAAGAGAAGAAATTCGAAAAGCATAAGCATTTTTTTAACCATTTCCTTATCGACGATGCGGACGCATTAAACGATATTTATCTATCCTTAAAGACGCCATTTTGATCCTTGCTACACGAAACCGTTTTCTGGAGAGATTCAATTTCGTTCGTGTAATAGAGGCTTTATTTTGATGCGATAATGTGGCTGTATGTTCGAGAAAGTTTTTTATGGAGTTCTTTGAATAGACAATATCGTTGTTGTTAGCAGATGACTGAAGACAGAAGTCGTGTTGGCCCGGAGGTTAAGACTTATGGTTCTTATGCACAAGGGAGCTGGTTCGAAACCTGGCAAGGTACTTAGAAATTAAAAAAGTTCTTAATACAAAAATGTTTCTACTCAACCAAAGAATACTTCGAAGGAAAATAGAACACCAACATTAATGTTAAAACCCACCTCATATACACACAAACACCTACCTACTAACTCACTCAATAACAACTTTTTTTTTATTTTTTATTTATCTAATTATGAACTTTTTTGTTTATTTTTTTCTTTTTTATGCAATGTAATGTAAATTAAGTAATTTTATATTATTTTATAAGCTATAGCCCTCTTTGCAACGCCTGAAAAAGGCCGTTAAGCTGTGCCTGTTATTTTAATTTAAGATCCTTGTACCCACCTTAACATGCAAATAAAGAATTTGAATTTGAATTTGAATTTGAATACTTGACTTTTTCACATGTGCTTTCTATGATTAGTTAGACATCACTGACATACGGTGAAGGAAATATTATCGTGAGGAAACCTAGACTTATGAGCAAGCGTGGTGATTAATGCTCAAACCTTCTCCATGTGAGAAGAGGCCTTTGCTCAGCAGTGGGGCAGTTATGATTAGTTATGATTAGAGTTAGATGTAAAGAGACA